ACTAAAGAGGTCCTCTGAATATTTTAAACTGTAACCAAAGATTACAACAGTAAATAAGCCAATCCCAATGGAGCAAATTTTGGTCCCCTAACTCGCATGCTTCAGACAGTTTCTTTTCTTTTTCAGAGTAATCCCACCAATATGTGACACAGCAGGTACTGTATAGCACTGTTAAGACAGAATATCATTGCTTAAGGCAAGGTGACAGGGATAATAATCTGCCATCCTTTATGTTTAATATTTAAATCCCGGAGGTAGAGAGGAAAAAATATGGCGGTGTCCTTGTTTCAAGCGCCCTCTCTACTCTATCAACTGAGTCCGGAGTAATCAGTCAAACAGCAAAGCACAATCTGGGATAACAATTCATGTTTTTTTAGACTACCTAAGATTGATTACTGGTAAAAATGACATGGGAACTACAAATGCACAAAATTACACACAGAAATGCCAGAAAAAAAATATGCTTGTTTGTGGTTCTTCTCATATTTCATATTCTGGATTTGTATATATTTATGTTTCTTCTGTTTACCAGTCACAAGCAATGCTTAAGGCAACGCTGCCCACTTTTACAGTATTTGTGAGTATATGTGTTTGCTGTGTGCCTATTAGGATTTTTGTAACTGTGTAAACACAGATTCATTCCTTCCATTTGCAGCAATTACTCATTTTATACATATTTTCTGCCCCCAAGCCTGATGGGAATACAATCTTTGTAGGTCAATTTAGGGAATTGCAGGATAATATATTGCATTTTTATTAAATGAGCATATGCTACATGCAGTACAACAGCATTTACCTCAGGAGACACTGTGGTATGCAGTTGAGAAAGTGGAAAAGGTCACATAACTCAGGGGCAGCAGAATAACTGCAGCCACATGTAAATGTTGATTAATATCTGCGGTTCTCAGGGAAAAAATTAAGAAATATAACTTTTAGTTTAGCACCTTAAACATTTAAGTTTTGAGGCAATTACAACATGGCATTTGGCCTGTGAATCAGTAATTAATACTTGAGTGTTTTTCTGTGACATTTTAGTAATGTCTGTCTAGATTCATTATTTTCACTTTTCTGGGTTCTTTTTTGACATTCTGGGCAGGAAGTTCTTCAAATGTCGACTATTTGGGTCTGTTTTTACGTTTATACTGGTAGTTAGAGTTAATGGCTGACAGTATTGGCAGTGCAGAATGTTATCTGACCATCTTTAACTAAGTAAAGTGTTTTAACTTTTGAATGTCAAACTGGAGTTTGTGTGGTTTTTTATATCCCACTGATGTCGTTTTGCATCCTTCACTACATTCTGTTTAGTGAACATGCAGCGTGTGGCTTGGCTGATAATTCAGCCAGCAAGATCTTGTGCAACAATCTAATTATATCTATATTCAAGAGGGATCCAAGTATTTCTCAGCGGGCTCCATGCAGCTGACTGTGTGTGCATAACTGCAGGCTTGATTAACAAGTTGTTGAGTCAGCACTTACTGTAGTAAAGTGCATCAAGCCCACAGACTTTCTAACCTACAGCAAGGTACTAAAAACTACCCCAAATGATTGCTAATCAATTATTGTTTAACTTCTGTTCAATTCCTTTAAAAGTGATTGTTGCAGTTGGCTTAATGTGTATAAATTTAATCACTGTGGATTTAAAGTACATTTTCTGGCTTTCTGTGTCACTTAAACTTACTAATACTGGAAATGGATGAACATTTTTTTTTTACATTAAAAAACAAAACAAACAACAGCAACAAAAACTAATTTCCTTGTTCGGTGATACTGAGAATTACAAACCCAAGACATACATACATTACAGGCAGGGTTTAAAGTGGCATTTGGCAGGTGCAGGAACTCTAAGATTGGGTGTAGTGGTGCAGTGTGGAGAGAAAAATTGCTTAGAAATAAGTTGCAACTTGTTTTGTGAGTTCCAGCAGATTTTCTTTGCTTTAGACTTTCTTTGGTGGCTGATGCTGTTACCAGCATTCACGCTTTTGTGTCATGTTTTATGTGTTAATTCCGCTGTGGTCTTGTCCCGGTGTTTTATATCTGGTGCCAGCCATGACAGAAACAAATAAAATGCTAGGACCTAGGACCTCCCTGCAGGAATCTGCTGACATTTGTCATTATATTAAGGCAATGACTGTTATTCTCTTACTGATAAATTCAAAAACCAGGCCGATCAAAACAGCTGCGAGCTATGTCGACACAGCATGTTGATACGTTTCCAATGAGGTTACTGTGTAGATTATGTTGTAGGGTTTCAGAGAGGTTGTCAGTGTTGGCATACCTATAGATTAGATTAGTGGATTTAGCCAACTCAGTGTGAAAAGAATTAAGCAGATGTTTCACAAGTTATTGCTGAGTTCCAACCCCTGGACAGTAAGGCATTAGAAAAACTAGAATTTGGTGATTGAATTTAGGGTTGCATGAAAATACTAGCCATTAAATTTCCCAGTATTTTCATGCAGTCTTTGAATATAAAAAAAATTGCATTTGACTAGTTAGTCGCGATAATTCAGAAACTCTTACTGTATAGATCTAATGCTTGATTTAAAAATGCTAAAATGATATAGCGTTACCATTGAAAAAAATCTCTCATCTCATCTAGGTGCAGGAATTTTACGTCACAAGGATAAGAAGGAAAAAGCAGTGTTGAAAAAGGTGTAAGCCTGGGGATGTCATTATTTTGTTATTACTGAGTATCTCTATCCAGTTACTGGAAGCAACACCAGGCTGCAACAGAAAAAATAACTAATTCAAAAGTAATATGCATTACCTGCCTATTAGATTTTGTTGCTTATTAACTGAAGGTGCCAGAATGCCATTCTAGCCCACTTTAACCCCAGATTACAGGGCAGCATGATGCAAATTACACAGCTTTACAGTCATTTGTTATAATGACTGCGTAATTAATGTTATTGTTATAAAGTGAATTTAGTGAAAAAGCAAGACTCAAATGTAAAATATTCACTTCATATCAAAGAGCCAAAATACCAGCAAGGACTTGGAACAGTACTGGAAGATATGGAATGATGAGAATAGTTTGCAGGGCTATATAGATAAATGCTTGCTTTTCCCTGCTATACATTCTCATAAAAAGCGCTGAAGGTCAATATTTCTGTATATAATGAAGCTACCTAAAGCTGCAGAAAATATGGCTGATGCTACAAGCAAAAGGGCAGCTCGTTAATCTAGTCACAGTGGGGAAGCAAACCAAATTTGAGAACTTAAGTGTCTTTCACCAAGATAAGCATAGGAGATAGAATATGTCAACTCTTAAGGTCAGATATGTGCTTCACACTGATGTATTTTGATAAGAACAGCCATTTTAAAAATTGATCCTGAAATTACTTGAAACTGACTACTGATGTGATGATCTGAAGAGCTTCTGTAGGGCAAAAGCCTGTGGCTAGCAGAGGAGGAGTGTGGAGGACACACCACAGAAGCAGCTTGCAAGGAGTGAAGTGTGCTGAGAATACTACTGTGAGCAAAACCATCAAGAAAAGTAAGGTGAAAGAGAAGAGGGTGACCTTTATGAAAATATCTGTCATCTCCCTCAATTTCTCAGTGGAGCTTAGAAATGGGTCAAATACATGTTCTCTTTTTTACTGCAATAAAATGACATGGGGAAATAATAACAAAAATGTGGTTTTAATTGTTTCTATTGCTAGAAAAAAAAAAGTAGTTTGCAGTTTTCTGCAGTCCCAGATATTGCAACACTATTTCCCATTGCATAAAACTCATCACCATAATTTGTTACATCAGCAACGCCTTGGTGCCAATGTAAATAACAGTGGAGGATCTTTGAGGAACTACATTGTGTTTATTGGGACGCGGGTATGTTTCCTGGTCAGAGAACAGAAATAAATCAGTGACAAGCTAATGGATGGAGAGTCACTGGCCAGCTGGAGGAATCAGGGTTGGAATGTAAAATGGCAAACACTCTCCTTTCTCCCTCAGCAGCCACTGCCAAAATGCCCTGGAGCAAGGCACTTAACCCCTTGCTTATACTGTTTTCAGCAACAACCAGCAGAAGACTGATTGCAGTATGGCTCTGTGGTGTGAATATACCTGTACAGCAAGCAGGATGTAGGTCATTGAAGGAAAAATGAAAAACAAAATCACACACAAGCTGTCAAAACATTCCCTCTGCAAATAAATATTAAATATGATATAAACACAATACCACTATGGATGTACCCTCCTGCTGCTTATGTGAGTGTGTGTTTCTGTGAGCGTTAGATCGAAGAGGATCTAAAAAAAGAAGTGAGATGTGAAATGGTACCAAATGTACCCTTGAGGAGTTTTCCCACTGACTTCCGGCCAATAGTGGCAATTCCAGGAAGTTGCTGCACACAGACACAGACACAAATAACCACTCCTGAAGCAGTTGATGTGCACTGAACAGAGGCGATGATAGAAACTGTTCAGTAGTGCGGACAGGCCAGGCTATAGCCGTTGTTGCTTCTTTTCATTATGCAAATACTAATCAAAAGCTCCACATGAAATCAATCTTCCTCTAACTCTCATCAAGAAAGGAAATGCATTTCCTAAAAAATGTTCCCAATAATCCGGTGCAAAAATTAAAAGCTGATAAAGCTATTCACATTCTGAATTGTTGCATTATGATAGTCTAGTGTAATCTTCACATCAGCCCAAGCAATTGGAGTAGCGCATGCATGACAAAGTGCTACAGTAATTCATTTAGCCTGCTAGGCAACCAGATGCACGAAACAACAGTTTTGGAGTTTTAGTTCTTATTAAACGCGTTCCTAATCCAGACCTGCAGAGGATCAATTATAGCTAGGCTTTGAGAGACCCCAGTCAATTTTGTTTTTTTAATTTTTTTTTCACCTCTCAGGTAATAGGCTATATAAAAGCCATTTTCATTTTGTAGGAGAGGTTCAATTGTTTACACAAGATAATGACTCGCCTCGCTAATGAATATTTTGTTAAGCCTAATTAAATAATCAATCAAGCAGCCCCGTATCCCCGCCCTGACCTGCCACAGAGGGCCATCTCCTCAGCAGACAGGCACGCCTTCAGCCCTCAGCTTCTGATCACATTTCCTTAGCAACGTGTTTCCCCCGGTGTCGCTTAGACGGCTCAGCTGTCTTATTCCCCACGGAGATACACATCTCACCTCTGACTAGCAAATTCTCCAGAATGATGGTACAAGTCACCGTCCCAGGGCGGAACACCTTTGCAACTTAATGGTGAGCATATATCCCACCGGCACACACGATGAAACGGCGTTAATTGCAAGTCAGCACCGTTTCTGCATGCAGCAGATGGTCCATGTGTACTCCCTACTAGTAAGATTAGCCGTCCATAGTAAATCCGGGGCCTAGCATTTGCAGGATGGGGGCAGAGGGACGCGTTAGCTACATTTAATGCTAAGCTGTGGTTCAATCTTGTTGATGTAGCCTCTTTCATCTTTGCATTAATAATAACTTTTTAAAACTTCTCAAACTCTTAAGACAGGTATAGGTTGTAGTAGTGTGCACAGTTATTATTATTATTATTGTTGTTGTTGTTGTTGTTAGTGTAAAAAAAAAAAAATCAGTGTCTCTAAATTAGGAGAAATTACTTATGACCGGTGTTGAACCAAAAAGTTTTTTTTTTCCAGCACACCCTGAGGTGTTCAGTAATCAAAATGTGACATCACCATAGGGGAAAAATAGTAAGACATGCGCCACTTGTTAAAGCTGGCTAACTTTAGCAGCACACATTTTTATTTTAGTTCAAGTGAGTCACGTAGTTATGAAAATTGTCCACAAATCACCGGTTATGGTACATTTTGGATCCACGTGCAAATGGGATCTAAATCAAAAAAGTAAAAAAAAAAGATTTTTAAATAGATGTAACAGGAATAAACAAATGATCAATAAATGCAATAAGCTGGGAATTACCAGAGTGGACAGGATTAGAAATGAGAGTATCAGAGGGACAGCTGAGGTCGAGCACTTTGGAGAAAAAGAGGGACAAGGCTGAGATAGTCTGGGATAGTGGATTTACTGGACAAGGGATGTGGAATATGTAGCTGTTAAGCAGCAGGAAAAGAGGAAGACCACAGAGGATTTTGATGAAGGTAGCGAAGGAGGACATGCAGAGGGTTGTTGTGACAGAGGAGGATGCTAGGGATAGAGTGAGATGAAGGCAGATGCTCCGCTGTAAACCCACAAATAGTAAACCCACATTTAATTAAAAAATAAACAATACAACAACACAAGAACTCAGTTTTCTTCTTTTTTTCCCCCTCGCACTAAAGAAAAATTTCACGAGCAAATATTTCAACAACGTAAGAGTTTCTTTTCTATTTTAAAATTGCAAAGAATTTGGGGATTTCATCATCTACATGGGATTATATTAAAAGTTTCATGGAATCTGTGTGCACAGGGCACAGTGTCAAAACCAATACCGAACAGGAGAATCACATTAAAACCTTAAGTGACTCTAGTGGAAATCCCTGGCTGGCTCAGCAGTGCTAATAAAAGCTATACTGGCAGTTAACAGTATATAGCCGCACAGATATCAGCTATAACGAGTTAAAACCAGTTGAACTGCATATGAGCAAGATTCAGAAGGCAATTGGCTTTTCTGGGTCCCAAGTTCATTTAAGAAGTATTGAGGTGAAGTGGAAATAAAATAAAAAACCCTTTTTTGTAAGTTATGAATGATACTTTCTCTAGGTTAAAGATGAGCTTATTAGCTGTGTATGGTTTGGTGTGCTCATGGCATGGACAACTTGCACAACAACTTGCCTATTTAGGTCAAATGAAACCAAAACATGTTTTTCTGGTGATTAAAAAACTGATAAACATGAAACTATTTGTTGTATAAGATTTAAAACACAAATATGTTGTTTAGGGGAAAATCCACTGTCTTAGGTATACTGTACACTCGTGTGAAGTTTTTAAGAGAAGAGTTGGTGGAGATGGAGAAGAGATTTTTGCTTGACCTCCAGCATCCACACCTAACATTAGCATGCCACAAGCTCTATATAGGTGACTCAGAACAAACAAGAAAAACTATGGATAAAAATAACTAAATAAACGAAACTCTCCAAAGCAATTTTCTGGTCTGCAGGTGTGCCACATATTCTGGATCATGATAACCAAGCTGCCTCACAGACGTGCCTGCAGTATTTCCTTCATGCAGAGCTCTTAGGGCTCTGCGTGGCAGAAAGTGTATATACTGCAAATCCCCAAAGCACTGCACAAGTGTTACAAACAAACAAAAACTCACAGCCTTAACTTATTGAGGTTCTCCTCCAGAGCCCCAAATAAACAGGAAACACTGTAGACTATACAGGGGGGCTGGTGACTGATAAAGGTAGTGCCTAAAACAAACAAAAAAAGAGCAATTCATTTCAAGCTGGCAAAGCTGTTGTGCTGCTAGCTTTGGCCTAATTTAACCCATGGTTTGAGATATTACAGACTTGAAAACATTCTGCAGTTTTGCTTCTTTCAAATGTTGTTTAAGGTTTTAGAGAGTAAAGAAAGAACAAAAAAACTAGGTGTCTGTGAAGTTTAATTTCCTATGCACTTCTATAAGATCAAGGCCAGAACTGTATGACTTGTCTTCTCAGTATTACTTTACATGATTCAGGAAACAGACCTGAAATTTGAGTGAAAATTGGTTTTGCCTTTGGCATCAATCACTTCATTTAGAGTAAGAAAATTGATGTACGGGCTAATTTTCAGGGGGCTTTAGGCCTGGATGCTCATCATTGTTATAGGTGATTAGTGGCGATCCACACATCTACCCAGGGAGCACAAACAATCAGTCCAGCAGCGGCTGTGGCCAGTAGCCTGCTGGTGGTTCACTGCTGTTTCAGAGACATCCCGCTGCTGATATAGTAATAAAGCTGATTTGTATCAGTTTGAAGGTTATAAATAATAACCAAAGCTTGTTTTCTTATTATTATTATTATTAAATGTAGCTGAAGTGTTTTGGCTTTGTAAATATGTTCAGGAGCCGGTCTGTGTTCGAACCCACTTAATGATGGTGGCAGTTGACCTTTTTCTGCTCTAACCTACTCTGAAATGGGACAACATCTACCAAATCCATCACCACAGTGTTGACAAAAGTGAATTTAACAGTGAGTGGACAGAGAAATGAGTTCTGTGCCAGCTGATTTAAAGTCTGTGTTTACTTCACAGTCAGACTTTCTCAGGTAAAATATCTGTTCCAGATTTTTTCTGTTGTTTTTTTTGTTTTGTTTTGTGTTGTTCACTCGGGAAGCTTTCAGAATGAATTGGTATGCTGATGACAAATGATGCTCTACCAAATATTGTCAAGTTGATAAAAGCCTACGAGTCTGTAATGCCGGTCATGAAGTTCATCTCATCGCATACCTCATGTGTGGCGATAAATTGAGAGATGATTGGCTTTCGCCTTCTGATTTAGTCATTTCAGCAGATTCACTGTGGCACAGAGAGTTGCAAAAGACCCTTTCTTTGTTACGATGATCCTGAGGGACATGTTATGACAGAACAGCAGCAGATTTCATCAATGTAGGAGGCTTACAACTTGAATTCTAATTTAATTCAATTTAATTTAATATGCCGTACAAATATAAACTTCCGATAAGTCATCTCCAGTCCCTATGCAGCGAGGGGGGAAAAAAGCAAAAAATACACTCAATACAGCACAATAGCAAACACCATCAGCATTCAGTCACTGCAGCTGCCAGGCTGTGAAAAGTTCTGAGGAAATGATAATGAGAAATTACCATATACAAGGACGCTTACACTATTTATCTCAACAATGTTTGCCTCAACTTACACCTGTGCGTCCTCGTTCTTGCAGAAGTGCCATTGTACTGTAACTAGCAATTGTGCCTCAGTCACTAACCACCATCTTCATCACTGTCTGTGCATCGTGCTGACAGCTTAATGAGCCAAACTTTGCTACTTGTGAAGAAAACAAGAAAATGTAATCTTTCTCATTAGTTGGCAAGTTAGCAAATGTTTTCAGATGTGGCCTAGTTTCTGATCAAACTAAGCTTTGTTATGTCAAATGTCCTCTTTGATCCAGTTCATCTAACCTATCTTCATCTAACCTACAGCGCTGTGTTGACTATTTATTACCGAGTAAGCTCCTGATCTCTTTCTTGAGTCATTTGGTCAAGAAAGTGACATTAATTGGGGAAAATGTCCTTCATTTGGTAATCTTCACATTTAAGTTGCCATTTATTTAAGAACAAAGGGAGCTGATTATGAAAATATTTTGTCGATTAATTTTCTTTCAATCTCCGTATCAGCTATTGTAACCTGTGAGAGACAGCAATTGACATGTAACCTACCAGTATGATGCGATAATTCGTTGTGTCCTCCTCATGTCTCTCTCAGTCATCAGTCAAGCGAGGATTTACACAGCTCCCTTGATCCATTGCCCTCTACACACCTGCGTGATTGGCATCCTAAATTGTGGAGTGAACTGAGGTGCAATAATAGCAGGAGGCTGTTTGAGACAATTAGTTGACCCCCACAAGCATTACCTTGCTTCTGACCCCATGGCCCTTATTAGCTGAACCATTTCACTGTGTGGCCCACAGTTTAATCCTAATTGATCAATACCTTTAAGGCCTCTTAATATCCGAAGAGAACCTTTTGGTCTGTTTATTTAAGTGGACGCCAAACACTATAGATTGCCGTGGAAGTATGAATGAGTATCGAATGCAATTTTAGATGGATTTCGAATCAGATTTGGTCAAGATCAAGATGGATAAATGTCATTTAGAGTTTAAATGAAGTTAACTGCGCAGAGACCTATGGTTTAAACAGCTTCTCAATGTATTATGAGTTATGATAGTAATTTGGTATTGAAACAAATGTGCTGATTACAACCGTTCGGTTTACTTGCTTAATGTATTCTTTCTGAATTCCAGTGGAAATGTGGCAAATAGATAGTCTTTCCTGGCCTTAGTGTGCCTTCTGTTATCTTTTTACTCATTCTGCTTGTTGATGTTGTCAATTTACTGCCACATGCATGGTGGTATAAGGTGGTCTTCATTTCACTCCAACTTTGGGACAATTCATGGTGAGGCTGTTGGGGTGACCTGGGTCTTGTTATTATGTGGTAGTTGAGATATAAACAAGTGTACTGCAGCATACAGCATTATGCAGTGCATTATTGAATTGTAGCTGATACTGTGAAAGTCCAATTTCGATTCAGAGTATACAGTACATCCTGACCTCTTGCCTAAATCACATTACTGGTTACAGCGACTGATAGCAGTAAACATAGCTGCCACTACTGTGCTACTACTAATAGACAAAAACACCTTACAGTGACACAGTATTAGATTCTGGTGTTGTGCTGTTTTTGGTAGTTTCAGGGTTGTTGTCATTTGGTTGTTGTGGATAATTTACAGTACTCTTTATATAAGGCAAAAAAAGAGTTTGTACAATTCTAAGGAATTTGAAAGTCAGTATTTCGACCAATTTTATTAACTCTCTTAGGCTTTTTTGTAATTTCTTTAAGTACAGGTAGTCTTCAGGAATAGTTTTTAAAGGAAAATCAGAACTTTTATTTGGATGTCGGCTGCCTTTTGTTCTGCACTGGCAGTGTGTTTGAGAGCATTGCCATGCTGAAAAACAAAGCTGCTGCTAATCAGAGGCTTTAAATATGCTTTATGGTGGATATTGAAATCTGATGGTTCTTTTCGGTATTCATAATTCCATCCCAAACACCACTGGTGGACATGTAGCCAAACCAAACCACGACAGAACCAATGTGTTTTACAGGTGGCACTCACTCTTGTACCTCTCCAGTATATATTGATTTTGATTTGAACCAATTTTTAAAAAAATTTAGATTCATCACAGCACAGGACTGTGAATGAATGAAGCAGCCAATGTCCAAAGAAAACCTTTAAAGGATCATTAAGAAGCCTGGAAAGCTGTTTCTCCAGACCACTTTAAAAATGAAAGAAAGTTTGACTCCATGGAATCAAACTGTAAAGAGTTTAGGGTTTACTCTGTACTTTTGTATTGTACTATCTATGTAAAACTCTGATTTCCAATTTTATTGACAATTTTGTTACCATGTTTTCATTTTTTTTAATTAGTTTGGTGTTTTTTAGTCTGTAACCCATTAAAGTTGTTTGTTAGCCACTTTTTTAAAACCAATATAAGAAATTCCATATCTTCACATGTCTTTTGAAACATTGTAGGCATGTGACAGGGATGCTTAACATACTTTTACAACCTGTAAGCCAAGAGCAACAGGCTTGACGATTCTCCAAATCCACAGTTTCATCTAATCAAGGATTAAACTTAATTGTGGATTAGAGTTTTGTTCCTACTGTGGTTATATTAATAAATGTAACAATGGAAAAATGTCAAAAGAAAATAATATTTTGCAATGGCAATTGTTTTGATTTTATTGCAGTGGCACCAATCTGTGTTCTCAAGACATTTTCCATGGTAGAACAGGTGCTTTATTTCTGCTTGCTTTCAATTTACAGGAGGTCCTGCTTCTGTACCTGTTGGTTGGCTGCCATTGATTCCGGGGGGAAAAAGCTTTTTTAAAATTACCCTTTTTTAAGCAATTTTTAAATCAGATTGACTGATGATGCTATATGTCCGTTGTTGTTTTTTTATGTCCCAGTGGCCATTTAAAGGTAATTTAGATGAAAACTTTTGGCAACTTGCTTATTCACTTCCTGACCCAACCCTTTTAGGGATTTGTGTCTCCATCCAGTCTCGAACCAGGATTCCTTTGTGTATTATAATAACTTCCAAGTAAATACCTAAAACTTGCTTTTAAAATGAACTTGAATCATTAGTTCCAGTAGCAGCTCAAGATTCCTGGCATATTATGTAAACAGATCTGCTCAAAGTCTTTCTTTTTCAAAAAAAAAAGGTTTAATGTACAAATTAAATTTCTTTGGATATATATTGAGTTTTTTAAGAGCTTTTTCTATTATCTCATAATGACATTCATTGATTTCTTTTCTCCTGTTTTATAATTATGAGACGTTTGTGAGGTGCTTTGTTTTACAGTATAGTTACAATATTCTGGCAAGAATCTCAATCATGTGTTTTTTGGTGCTTTTACACTAAAACCAACAGACTGCCAAAATGACATCCTTTTACAACGCATCAGTGTCCTGTCTGTCTGGCCACTTTTTTTGCCACCACGAAATTGCCGGACCCAAAATTGGAACTACTGTAACTATGGAGAAGGATCACATCTGTCACATTTTCTCCCCACACACAATGACCACAACTTCTGCTATAGAACTCTAATGTACGGGTTTCATACTTTTTGAAGTGTAGGCTTATTCTCCAAAGGCACTGAAGCAGGACTGGCTCTTCACCAGCACCGCTCGCACCAGATAGAAAACATCAAAATGCTGAAAAAATAAAGGGATGCTCTGTTGCTATGAATGAATCCTTTCATATCTAATCTCCTTTGATTCATTGTCAATGTAAAAATACTGAACTTTAAATAAAAGTTAATTAAAAAACGAATAACTACATGTAAATGGCCATTGCACAGGTTATTATTCTGCAATCACTAAACCTATCCCACATTTTGTCTTCTTTTATTAAAATTTTAATTCAATATTTTTTTCTCACAAATCAGCTGACAGGTTTCCAATTTGTTCGGTGAAACACAATAGTCATCCTCATCTCGTGTAAATGAAGTCTTCTGGGTCCCCACAGAACCCCCAAGACAATACTTGCAATCTCATTCATTTTATCACTCCCTCTTCTATTGATATTGGTGTTCCATATTCAGCGTTTTATTACTTATCGCCATGCAGTTATTCATATCAGCCCTTGTGAGCTGATCAAGAAGCAGAGTTTTTCTTGCAGCAAGGCTTCTCTACTTTGTTGTTTTATCTGGCGCACACGTATGAAAAAGGCCTGAGGGAGGAAGACAATGCTGTCTGCTTTAACTCATCTCGCTGCCTGACACTGAGGTATCAGGCACCAGCAGGGGAGAGAGAATATTTTATCTGACATTGTCACTCTCTGTAGAAACCTCCGGGAGGCTGAGGCTGCTGTGACACACTTGGTGGTCAGCAGCACTGCATATGATTATGACAGTTCCTGCTACCCTCGCAGAAACCATAGGTCTGTGGTGTTATTGTAAAATGAAATCTTCATAATAACAGCGTGGGCTCAGTCACTTCTAGTGCTCTGGATAAAGTTTTAAGCAGCAACAGTGTGTAGCCGTAAAACATATTTAAAAAAAATCTCTTTGTTTTCTTCAGGCGATTGCTACTCTGGTGGACTTTGGAGTAAAGCATCACATAAAGTCGTTCTTAAAAGTCCCAAACTGATTTGGATTAAATACAGAGAAAGAGGAGACATGAGATCGTCATTGTTTCACGTGAGTCTCATTTTTGTGGCCATTCATATGATCCACTGCCAAATCCTTTGCAACAGGCAACCTTCAACCGAATGGCACCTTAAAAAAAACACCATCCAAATGAATTGGACTCTAATAGGGAACATCTGCAGGAGTGTTTCTGAGTGTTGGGATTCCCAGCGGGGAGACGAGTCAAGTGAGCAGCCTTTCAACTTCCCACAGATATGCCCACTTCAGCTACAACATGGAGACAAACTGTTGATGTCTGCTGATGAAACACTCAAGTCATATGGCATCAAACTCCTAAATGTGTCAAAAGAGAACTTTGAAAGCTGTTCTGCAACAGGACAGAGAGAAGATCAGTTTCTCTTCCCTCACAACATAAATGAAAGAGAGCAAGTCGATGCCAGGTGGCTCATGCCGGGTCACCGTTATTTTATTGCGCTGCACGAAGGAGACACGCAGCTGTGCACGCTAGGTTTGAGGCTGAACGTCACAGTTAAAACCCAACTTTGTCGGAGCTCCCCGATGCTTCGACTTTGTTCGGGGAACGGTGTCTGTCAAACAGGAGTCGGAGAGAGTGCATTCCACTGTCGATGTCACCACAAGTATTCCGGGAGGTTTTGTGAAAAGTTTGATGCTTGTTTGGATAACCCCTGTGAAAACAAAGGAATCTGTTTGAGCAATGGATCGACAGATCCACACTACAGAACATATAAGTGTCTGTGTCCTCCACATTTTACAGGTGAGCACAAATGTCACTGATCCCATTTAATGAGTTCTCGTAATTGTTTGAATAAGGGCTTGGTCAGAGCATCTAAAAATAGTCCTATACATCACTTGTGGCTGTTACATGTTGCATTTGCTACAAAATCAAAGTTTGTAGAAGAAGTGTTTCTGAGAGACGTACTCATGTGCTGAAAGAACGTAAAAGCAGCTTCTCAATTATGGATTTATTGAACACGTCAAGTTAATGTTTTTCACCATAACCCTCCGACACACTCATGTAATGCAAACAGAATACATTTTTACATTGCTTGCATTCCAGATGACTTCCTTTTTAAGTTCCTTGCTGAATTATCTACAGTAATGACTTTTTTTCTTTAATAAAATTAAAATCAAAGGCATTAGACCTCCGTGCATGCAAGCAAACTTGATTCTGCTCATCTACTGTTTTTTTTCTGTGCCTGGTCCTCTGTGAATAATCATCTAATGGGCTGTTTGTTTTAGGGGTTAACTGCTCTGAAATCATTGGGAAAGCAAACTGTGACAGCATCTGTGAAAATGGGACATGCCTTCAAATATCACCTGCATCCTTCAAATGCATCTGTGACAATGGTTTCTCTGGTAAGCATCTCTTATTTTAGAAGGCTGTTTATATAACGTAGATGGACTGTCTGGCTCAGTAACAATGAAGAGCTGCTCTTTAAACAGCATGTCACAGTTTTAATCACTACCAAGCAAATCACACAGTTTACTGCAATTCTGTATACAAAGCACAATGGAAAGTGTTTTTCCCTCACCTCCCAGAACCATGTAATTTCCCTCAAACAGGAGGGCTATCTTCAAATCATCATAAATCATAAAAAGATCAGCATTTCCTTGTGGGCTATAAACTTGATCCCACTCGATGTTATATTTGTCATCATAATATATGAAGGGGCCACTTCAAATCAAATACCTCATATTACAACCAGTGATGTGCCGCTCTAAAGGGCCTGGGCTATACTGCTAGCTAACGGAGCATGCCGGAGTTAATAAAATAAAGGTTTACGGCAATCAGGTAAAATGTAATTTATAGTGTATTGTTTCTGCTGAGAGCGTAAAGATAAAAATGAATGTTATTCAGTGCTCGTTATTTGAAGAATAAGTCCCATTTATGATAGTATTTATAATTACATTTTACAGGTGGCACACATCAGGCTTCCAAGTTCAGGATAAAACGAACGCGTCACTTTTTTCAGTCACAACAGAAACAACACGTGATGTAAAGTTGATACACATTAATATACATCTGAGAACTGGATATAGTTATGTGGAAATCCATCACTTTTCTTCTGCTCTGCTCATATTCACAGAGACAAATTGCATGGTTATATTATATTTAGGCTTAGGGTTAAAGTAGCTGATCCCCGTCTCTAAGAATCACTTACAAAAGCAAATCAAAGAGCATTGTGACACATTTTTCACTCCCAGCCAAGACCATCCACTTCAGAGACAGTGCTGGACGCTCATGTATAGGCGCTGAGTGGGACTTTTGCTGTGGCGAAGATGTATGGCACATTAGTGATTCGCTCATTATTTAGTCTCATCCGCTGTATTTTTGTATAGTCGGGTCAATCGTTATCACACACAAATGGTTACAAGACCTAGATGCTCTTCGGGCTGCCCTCGATATCACTCTCTGCTGTAAAAATCAAGCCTGCAATGAACTTTCTGGAGTAAAATCTCCAAGTGGCTTTTCACATTGATTCATTGTTTTGTTTGGAGCACAATTTGTCCTGGCAGCATTCTTGAAGTGTCACAGCTTCGCCTTTCGAGTCCAGCCCATGCTTTCAGCTTATTATTTTAGAGATGTTGTTTCAAGGTTACTTCCAGTACTGTCTGGCATATTCTTTTTTCTTTATAACAAGAGATTATTAAGGCCATACAAAAGAAGGAGAAAAAAAAAGTCATTTTAAAAGGTATTCTCGGATGTTTTGTGAAATGGCTCTGAAGATTTAAAAGAGAAAAAGATTACTGTAGCAAGATTACAGGATAATTTTCAAAATCTTTGAAAGAGGAAATTATCACTTTGCCTTCATCCCCTTGTTGGTAGTGAATGCCAGATACCTGCTGTATTGAATACTGAATATTTTCGATCAGGTAGAGGACATTATACTTATGTTAGTTCCTTAACGCAACACCGGTGGACTAGACTGTATGTTAAATTTGGTTCACATGAACTTTATCATATTTTCCTTTTATTCAAGTCTGAATTGCTCTTTGAAATGTAACTTTTTTCTCTAACTACAGCATTAGGATTGAAACTAGTGGGGAAAAAAAGAGTCAAATGATTTTTGTGTTAGCTGTTTTTTGCTCTTGTTTTGTTTTGTTTCATGTAAAAGAAGCATTTTGCAAGCCTTTTAACCCAAGCTGTCAGTGATGACAGTATAATGATTACCAGCTACTTACATTTGTTAAAACCAAATAGTTGGCCCTATTAAAGAAAACATCTGCCCTTGTTTGAAGTCAAATAGATAATTCCTATAATTTCCATCAGAAACAAATTGTGGACTTACATGCTCTGACTGCTTTTGCAGCTTCTTGTAATTGGCTTTAATTGCTGCTGCTCCCTCAAATAAGCAGACTCCACTGGGTGCTTTCGCACAGTCATGGTGTCTTGGTGTCCCATCAGCTTCTTGGGAGTTCTGTAGAGCTCGTGCTTCCTTTACCTCCCTGCTGCAGTTGGCTCATTAATCAAGTGGAAGTTAGTGGCTGCTCCAGTGCTGGCTGCCCTCACAGGCCAAAGTCTATGCGCAGAGAATAATGAGCCAAACTCATGGGATGTTTCAAATGAGATTTTCTTTTGATTTGACTGTCTTCTACTCTACCTCTAGGGCATTTGTTGTTAAGTATTACCATCTTTATAAGACCATTTTCATTTGGAATATGGTGTTAATTGTTTCTAAAATCTTGTTGGTAATAAAGCCAAGTTTTGTAAGTTTAATTTGGTGTATATATGCAGTCATTAGCCTTGTTAAACTGTTTTAATTAGGCATTGACATGCTGGTGTTTTATGCATATTAGATGGATGCAATTCAAAGTCACTGCAGAAACAATGGTGTTTTAGATGAGAGCACAAATGTAAATGACTGTAATAAATATATAAACCATCGTCGGTGTTAACTAACATTGTTAGCATTTTACAGAGGGAATTATCATTATTATGCTTCATTAATACATATGAGAGATGGAAATTCTACAGGAAAGCAGTTTGTAGAGGTGCAGCTTTGAGTGGACCAGTTTTGAAAACTCAATTTCTGATGTAAAATGAGCTGAAGCAAAAAGCAAACTCTGAAGTTGGGTACAGTAAGATTGATGCCCACAGAGGAGGCTAGGAGGAGCCTCTGGGACATGAGCACTTGTATCAGCAGGGGGATTAAAGAAAATATGCAAAAAAAAGAAGTCACTAGAAAGATAAATGTGTAGGTGTCATGTGAGAAAGAAAAAAAAATCCTCACAAGGGAATAACATCAAAATTTATTCACCTTGACCTTGCAGTGATTTCAGTCTAATTTTATCCTTTGTGCACAATATCACTGCAGCATTACTTTGTCCCTGGTTAAGTTCACAGTTGTGAAATTAAACTGCTGGCTAGAGCTTAGGTCAAAGTTACTTTATCTAAGAAAATGCTTACAATATGCTGAAAGCTGTGGCGCTCACTACTTAGTAAAATGCATGTTTATCAGTTAAAAATCTGTGTTAACTTTAATTTGGTGTATATCAAATGATGTATAAATAATTTAAAAAAAAAACACTGTGTTGTGTGCATAAAAAAAATTAATAATACAGCAGAATTTAATGAATAAACTTGTATACTTTTTAAAAAATAAAAAATAAAATGAGAACAGTGAAATATGAGAATAAAAATAAAATAGTATTTGAGCTGTAGTATAAAACTGTTCCAGGACATTTACCATGCGTTAATAAAAATTGATAGAGCAGTTTACTGTGAGATTTTGTGTGACAATATTATATTGATACAAGGGCACTAAATATAGATATTTAATTAAATAAGTTAAAATACTCTGAAAATACTGCGAACTACAGGGTTCATCTCATGCGCCACCATCCTGAGGTAACGTTAGCTGAGCAAACTTAGATTAAATCACAGCAACCAAAAACAAACGAACACAAAAAAATCATCCAACACACTGGGACGCCTGATAGGAAGGAACCTGTCTACAAACAGTTGCAGTCTGACTTTGACTGACTGCAATCGCTGACTGAAGTTTTGTAAATAATTGCCATCTAATTTATAAATGTAGGCATATTCCTAACATGTTGCCATCAGTCCGAATCAATCTTTGGCTGCCAGCTGGTTGTATTCTGGTTATAATTCAATAAAACAGGAAGGTTGCTGAGCACAAATGTAATAGTAAAATATGATTTTTTGTTAAATGTGAACTTCTGCCTATATAGACAGCAACAGATATGTAATTTTAAGCAGTATATTACAGGTAAATGCTGTATTTTTAAAAAAAATATTACATTTAACTGTGAACATCACCCCATTCCATCTAATGGTACCATTTATGTCAGGTTTGCAGCAACAACATAAGAAAAAGTAATAATAAGTTTCATAGTCTTATCTTATTGAATAACACAGATATTGTCATAGTTTAACTTTGAGGGTATAAATTGCAGGTGAAAAAAGGTGATAAATCACAATATGTGTTATTGCAATAATCAGCATATCACAAAATGTTGAAAAAACGGCAATAAACAAAGAAAATAAAAATAATAAAAATGAATAATAATAAATAAAACAACAATAATAATAAAATTACAAACCTATGTGGCATAACCCACATACACAAACATGGAGAAACTGTCAGGAATAATCACAGACCAGATATTTTCCTCACATTTTTTATTCTCATAAAAACCAGACTGCTTTTAATTAGCTCGGGTTTATCCCACATTTAATTATATTACTAGTGAGGCTTTTTACAGTGTTATCAAACAACTATTTTTCCTGTTTACGGTCGTGATGTAAATGCTGTGTGTGCTGTGTGGCCTGATTTAATGGGATGGCAGCGGCGCTGTATGGCACAAGCACAAATTTAAATACACACACACAGCAGGAAGCATATTACCCTGAGACTGAGGCAGTTCTCCATCATGCGGGCTAAACGGGAAAAAAAAAACAAGAGGAGGCGATGCAATCCACTCCATCTTTATAGCTTTCAGGAAAAAAAATTGATTTTTAGGTGAAGAGTTCCCAATAATTTGTGTTTGGCGCTGCATAGTTTACAGACTGCTGTAAACTACAAGTAGAGCTAAATAACTCAAGTCACAGCTGTTATTATACTGCTAGTTTGTGATTTTTCATATCTGAATAACTTGAGAGTTTTACTTTTGACTCATTGTTTTGACTTTGGTGGGAACATCATCCTACCAATTTAGGAGAGTAAATCAACAGGATAACAAGACGCGGTGACTCTGTGTACAGTCGGTCTTGCATCAAGTTTATTTGTGGGAGCATCTTTTTACAGTGTGTGAATGTGTGTGTGAATTGGTGGATGACTGAATGTAGTGTAAAGCGCTTTGGGGTCCTTAGGGACTAAGTAAAGCGCTATACAAATGCAGGCCATTTACCATTTATTTACCATTTTTAATGTTATGCATGCATAGTGCCGGGAAATGGCCCTACACATGCCACTACCCTGTGTAAATGATTAAACCTGTCAGTCACCCCTTCATTCTTGGATTCTAAATCACGTGTGCATTTCATTTCTGGTGTGAAAATTCTTTGAAGTCATTCCATGCTTGTTAATTTCCATGTTTAATATTTGAGATTCAAGAGTATACAGAATAGTTAAATTCATGCTATGCTAAGAACGCCAGTAGATGCAGTATAGTTTCTAAATAAAAGTGCAGTAATCTATTTTGCTGGTTTTGCAGGCCCACCGTGTGAGAAGAGGAAAGCCTCCTGTGACCCAAATCCATGTAGAAATGGTGGTACATGTGAAGAGAGTCCCACAGGATTTGTTTGCCATTGTCCGGAACAATTTGCGGGCCTCTACTGCGAATCTCGAGTTAACTTCGATTGCAAGTCGTACCCATGTCAGGAGGAACAAATGTGCACTGCAGGGGATCGCGTGAGAACTTTATTTCCCTTATTTGTTTTCCCTCAGTGGGACGTAAACAAGAAATGGCACATGAAAATTAATAGTGTCTTGAAGCGAGATCAAATGCCTTCATTCTAAAAGCTCCGGGAGCAATTAATATTTCCCGGTGAAGATGAGCTGTGGGAAAGGGTGTCTGCTTTCTCTAACATTTTGATTGAATGACCCAGTCCATATTTAAGTGCCAGTTTGAAATGGCTCTCATCAGAACCTTTTTGTAATTGGATGCCTGCTGCAATTTGCACCTTTCACGGGAAATGCTAGTATACTCATACATTTTGCAGAGGTGGTAGTGTTTCTAATGCTCTAGAGGATACTCTGGGGAAAATACAGCAGTGGTCTAATTGTCTTTCTCTACGACCTTTGTTTTGTTCATTACAGTTTGCCAAGTGCACTACACATTTTCGAGACCCACCTAAGGATACCCGAGCAGAGAAGAGTAAAGAGGACATTTATCAACATAATGCACATTATTGCTGCTGCTTGACATATATATTTTTTCCTAGAAGCATAATCTGTTTAACTTTGAATTACAAGAACATTAACATTTGTTAGCCTCTCATATCTAAAAACCATATTAAAACAAATGTAAAACCTATTGTTTATTTAGATTATATTTAATGAAAGTGTAGAAGTCTGTAGCAAATATAACTGTGACTCAATGAAGGCCCATTTTTATCACTACAGTGATTTGCTCTTTTATTGATAATGTTCCGTGTTCCTACACTTGGAAATCGAATGTACCTTTTGTGTAATTTAAGCGTCCTATCCCAGGCTTGCAGGTGATCTAGGTTGTATTGCTTCTCCCATGCAGGGCTCTGAATGTGTCTGTGCAGATGGTAGTGTGGCCACAGCGTGCAAGAGGCAGAACAGCCTGTGTAGTCCATCACCATGTTTGAACAATTCCACCTGTGTGTCCAGGGGAAATGATTACATCTGCAGGTAAGAGGGAGATCTAATAATAGGAACATCAGAGTCTCTTCTTGAAGATGATTCGCGTTTCTTATGAATGTGTCTCCCTCTGAGAATGAATAAAAATGTGATTTTTTTTTTCCACCTTTTGATGTGAGGAGGATTTAAAGTGGTTTTAAAAGCTCCAGGAAGTCATTGTTGAGAGTTGAAACAGAGACTTAAATGCTTTTCCTATGAAAACGTTTCCATTTCATGCCATTCATTTCTGCCATCTTTCAAGATATCCAGATATTAAACTGTACCAGACCACAAAACAGATAAACTGGTTTAATTTGTTTATCAGATAACAACTCTCACACAAGAAATTTGACTAAATAAGAACCAAATATAATACAAATATAGGGAAGTGTATATTTGGCATATTATACAGTATAGTTAATTTGATTCACATTAGAGCTTGATTTGGTATGATACGCTAACATCGCTAAGCATTTCAGAAAATGGGTAAAAAATGCTAACCTGATTAGCGACACGCCCCTGTCTTTATCAGAATCAGATCATGCGGAAAACTGAATTAGAATCCCAGAAATCTCGTATAAAGAAACAACACAGCATTGCTTGTTAGTGCTTAAAGCTCAAGGTGAATTGATTTTGATGACACTGACCGCCTCTCAACAGATGTCTGAGTGGGTTTTCTGGGAAGAATTGTGAAGAAATAATTGACTACTGCAGTCTGCTCAATATCAGCTGCCTAAATGAGGGATTGTGCTTGAGTGTAATTGGCGGATATCAGGTAAGTAATTCAAGGTTTCAGTCATAATGAAATGCAATAAAGCCCACGAAATATGACTCATGACGCATACAGAGTCGACGCAGTGTGAACTCATTCATAAGTGTTGTTAGGATTCATAAAATAAATGTTCTGTTTCGGTAGTAAGATTTTTTAAAATCTTTTTTGTGATAAAAACATGGGAGTGGTCCACTCTCCGTTATTGCATTTGATCATTTTCAGAGTAATATTGGTCTAAATGGTGTATTGTAACCTTTTGCACTTTTCAGAAATTTGAGCATGTTGACCTTCCTGTGAATCTGTTTGGTGTGTGGCTTTTTTTGTTAGCAAGTATTCATTTTTAGACTATAAAATCTGCTTTAATGATGCAACAGTTATGCACTGGATCGATTGTAATGATGAATGCTTCAGAATGGCAACTATTGCGCGATGTTCTTACAGTTGTCCCTGAATATAAAGTACATGCAGTACAAATACAGAGATAAGACCTGGTTTACACATGTTTAAATGTTTGGGGGGCTTTCTAATGTTGTCTATATGACAGTGAAATACAAAGAGAATTACAGAAACATCAGTGGTAGTTCTATGACTACAGAAAGCAGTAATCCAATTCTAAGTCATTAAATCCTGGTGTATATGTGGAAGCTTTGTTCAGACTGACAGGTCCGGGTCTAATTTGCCTCCCAGTTTCTCAGTCTTCTCAAATGTCTGCATTTTTTACAACACCTGAGAGTGCTCTGTAATGCCCCATAGCTCCTAATTATTCTCCATCAGTCTTGTTCCATTAGACCACTGATAGGGTTCTTTATCTACGATCTACTTTTACATGCTTTATGTTGGTGCACGTTTGGTCAGAGATGTTGCTAACTGCAAGTGCGAGTTTTTCCTTTAATGTTTTCTTATATTTTTGTGACTTTTAGGGTTTGAATATGAATAAATATTTACTGTGGGTAGTAATAAAATGGTTAGTGTGTTGTGTAGAAGCTCCATATACTCCATATCTAGTTGTGCACATATGCACAACTAGAGATAACATAAAATCATTTTAATGCTAGATATAGAGAGTAGTGTTTGTGTTTTTTCTCTTTGTAACACCTCGTGTTTGTGCACATTTAGAGAGAAACCCTGTTTTAGCTTATTTGGATCAGATTTTTCTTATTGTCCATCCAGGATTTTAGTCTTCACAACTGCGTAAATGAATTTGCGTTAATGAAAAGGCAAAAAAAAAAATTACTATGAATTTTTATTTAAAGCTGTTCACTGAGTTCTGACTGTCAAAAATTATATTAATCTCCATTATATCGTGGTGATGGTAGAAATCTTGGTTGAAAACGTCTCAAAGCCAATTAAACCATCTTTAATATCTCTCGAAGTAATTTTTGGTGAACTGAAATTTATTTGAAGCTGTGATTTGTTCATTCATCTCCAGGCTCAAAATGTGCACGATTCAATGATTTCTCTCTAATACAGTGTGCTCTGTATGATACATTTTATTATAGATTGATGTATACTCTACTATACTACTGATCTTATGAATAATTTTCTGCATTCCTGCAGTGTGTTTGTGCCCGGGGTTGGGTTGGAGAATATTGTCAATATGTGGGTGATGCCTGTCAGATAAAGCCAAACAGCTGTTTGAATGGGGCAACATGCATTGCAACAAATCAGCCAACATCTCCCCCTCAGTACTCCTGCAAATGTCCCCTTGGCTTTACAGGTGAGATATCTTTGTTTTATTATCTCTTTTTGTTCCTTTTCAGTGAGTCTGTCCATCTGTCTCCTGGCAACAGACTCCTGTCTCCTAATTTGTACACACAGTTGTGGAATGCCGGTTATGGGATGAGGAATGACTGATTCCTTAACCTTAATGTTTGGGGAAAATCTGATGTAAAACTGGCAGAGGCTGACAGATACATGGTGTTGACATTTCTTGACATCTTGTTATATAAGCACCAACCAAAGTCAAGACACACAAAGCCACGAGTGCTATCGTTTTCTGAATATTTTACTATTTTAAGATAGCCAATCCGCAGTCCACATGCAAGACATTTGACATGGAGCTTTCATGCTAAGAGCAAATCATAAATTATACATTTTGACTTTTGTTGGTGGTTTAAAGCAAAAGGCATAAAATCCATAAAGAACTTATGAGATGCTCATGTATTCCATTAAAAGTACATAACTGGTATCATGCTTGAATGTCGTCTATAGTGACAGAAAATGTTTTTTTTCTTCTGTTTTCTTTGTTTTTTCTCATTAACTGGCAAGTGTGCATTAAAATTTTATGTCACATAAAACCACTTTGATAGGGAAATCTACTCTCCACTGTCACTTTGTCATAGAAGCAATGCATTATGCATAGCTAGCAAAAAAAGACATACAAACATGGTCAAGGTGTTCATGAAGAGTTCAGACATCAGTCGATCATGTTACATATTTGTAGACGCACAATGTTAACCCAACCTTAAATCCATAGATGGATCCCCAAACACAAACAAACCTCGTGAGAATATGTTCTTGATCTTTCTGTGGAACGTTTTTAAAATATAAATCCATAAATCAGCCATATGCTAATATCCATCAAGCAATCTCGAAACCGTCCCCCTGCCTTGGCACATAGCAGGGTTAGCATTGTAGTTCTGTTATAGACGTCTAATGCTGTAATTTCTTTTTCAAGAATCTGATTTAATTAATATCTCAAAAGACCGAACCACAGCTGGCTCAAGGGCTGCTGTTCCATAGCTGACCTCTGACCTCCCGGGGGAGTAGAACAAAAATAAAAAACAAAGAAAACATCCCTGGGGTGACCTATACATTTTTTATTTGCGGTAGTAGTATTAGTACCATTTGTTCTCAATCTGCTGCACTACCTGATGTAGCCTAGAGGCAAAACTTTTTTAACTTTGTCTAGAGAAGCACAAAACTAGCAGATACCGCTAAGAACATAAGTGTTCTTGTCTCCCAAGTGGAAATTAATTCTACAATATCTAATTCAGGCCAGAGATTGGTGGTAAATCACAAGCCAAGCACAGATTTAAAGCAAAATCCAGTAATATTTGCGATATGACTTTTTTATTTGTTTTACCTTGAATCTTATTTATCAGCGGCCTCGCCTGCTCGACATTTCTACGGCCTGCTGCTGATTGTGTTTAATCCAAGTAATCTGGCAAACTGCTTCCTAATTAGCTGCCAGCTCGGAACATGGGCAAAACTTGTTAAGCTATCAGTGACAGTGGTTGAATAAACAATGCAGAGGCACGAAAAAACAAAAGGAGCAGTTGTAGAAAAGAAGATTAACCCTTTTTTATTTACCATGCTTAAAAAGGTTGAGCACATTCACAGAGACAGACACAATGTGATTAGAAGTTGTATTCTTTATCTCGGTCACAGCTGTCATTGTACTTCATAGCAGAAGATCATGTTTGAAGAATTGTTTATCTAAACAGTTCAATCTGCCGAAGAAAGAAAGACTCTTTTCATCTGCTTTTCTCGGTTCGCTGTATCATGCTTTTATATGATTAGCAAACCATCACAGTGATACAAAATATACACAGCTCTGTTTAGACCTAGTTACATTATTTAAGACGTTCATCGACACAAAAATGGAATGACACAGATTGTCATCGCTACCAGACATTGCACTTACTGTAAAGGTTGTAATGGTACAGCTCTGAATTGTTCCTCTGTTGTTTTACTACTTAAACAGCCAGCACATGTGATTTTTTTCCTATCTGGTGCACTCAGGTTTTGGCCTATAGCACATTTCACAATCTTGCCTTAAGTCCTGACACACTCAGCTGTCAGTCAGATAAGCCCTTACATAGCACTACATGAACACGTTTCGGCCCCCTCCCCGTTCAAAGCTGAAATCTGTTGCCACTTCAGTAATGGAAAATTGTCTCTTACACCATGGCACTTCTTAGTGACTGATAGAATTCATCATTTTCTGGCATCTCAGGACTTTTGCGGTGGAATTTCTACCCATGCAGGATAGGAAGGCCAATTTAATTTCAAGCTTTGCCCTGAAATCCCACTGTACTCATCATAGATTATAACCTAGGATACATTACTCAACCCCGGCACCCAGGTTTCCTTGTGGAAAGCTTTATTTTTCATATTTATGTGGACTCTTATGTATTTTTAATTAACTAATTAACTAATTAACTGTGCAATTAGAAAACAGTGAAATGTGCATATATATATATATATATATATATATATATAAATAAAAAAATGGGTTGTTTTTTTTTACTTTTTTTTTTTTTAACTTTTTGTTAAACAGTTGCTATATATTGGATAACACTATTTTTTGTCCTATAAATCTCAACAATCCACATCATTAAATATTCATTAAAAAGCTGTATAACTGATTTCACTTACAGCCAGACAGGATTTTAGCTGTTTTCCAGATTTTAGTAGGACAAATTTGTATAATTTGCTGTTCCACTGCATAGCATTTTTTTATATATAATGACCTGTACCATCAGCCGTGCAGATGTTATCAATCATAGTGTTTGTGCCGTAGCACGAGGTTGCTGCTGTCAAGGAGGGACTTTCACTACATGTCATTGCACCTCTGTTATTGATGACAGGACTTTTTAAATTAATAACCTGCACGGGAAAGCATCCACCCCCAATCACAGCAGTGGAACTAGCAGCTGCTGAGGCAGCTGAGCACCAAGCAAATCTCTTCTAAGGCAACCTCCGTCCCCCACATCATCTGCTTTCTTTTAGACAGAGCTTGTCATTAAATGTCCATTTTCTTAACAAGAAACTGAGCCCATGCTATCAAGGGCCTGTTTTCTCTTGTAACTTGTACTTGGCCTCAGCACTTGAATCCTAGAGCATCTTAATAGGTGAATGTTTGCAACCTAATTATTATTTCAGCAGAAATGTTTTAAAACAGTTTCAGGCAACTCTTTAAAAAAATTGGGGGGAAATTTGCTCATTCATTTTCTTGCCGAAGGTCTATAGAGAAGATTGATATTATTGTCATATCTGTACGCTAAGTCTGAAGGTAAAGCCTGCAGCCAATTAATCCAGCTTTAGCATAATAAACAAATAAACAAACAAACAAAAAAACACATCTGCCCACCAGCATCTGTCTGGCACTTTCACAGTGATAACAAGACTCCCGCTTGTCAATGCCCTGAGTTGAAAAAATAGAGCAGCACATAAGCCCCTAGTCGGGGTTTTTACTTTTTTTCCACAGAGCAAACACTGTAAATATGCATTAATTAGTGTGTTTTTAGACAGAAGCAGGTTAGCAGTATCCCCCTGCTTTCAGTCTTTATGCTAGGCTGAGTCATTCAGGAAAAGAGTGCTGCATTTTAACAATTCACACGAAAGATGAACTGCAATATGTTGGGGTGCAGAGGTCGGGACTGTGTGAAAATAGTGTGGCGATATATAATGCTGCTTATTACATCTAAAACCTCTTTCCCCAGGAACAAACTGTGAGACTGAGATCAATGAGTGTGACTCCAGACCTTGTCAGCACAATGGCAAGTGCTGTGACTTGCTAGGAGACTACAGTTGCCAATGTCCTACAGGTATGCGCTATGTCCAAAACTAGACCTTATTGTAGTAAAGATGTAGGTAATTTATGTTTACTGTATCCTTGGCTCGAGAAAGCACGCCATTTGGTGGCTGTGGTGGGATGAGCCAGAGACATTGATCATGTCGACACTCTGGATTGAGCCATAAATGAGGCCATAATGTTGTGTAACTTCCCAAATGATATGGTGTTACAAAGTATAACTTGCAGGTCCAAAAAAAGGAATTTAACATCACGTTTTGGGTGAAGTCACTTTAAAAATATGTATATATAGTTATGTATTTATTGTTACCTGTTTAAAATCAGATTTACTGGTGCCTCTGTACATACTTTTCATGTGTCTCCCTAATCATCAAGGTAGTCTGCATGATCACCATCAAAAACAACTCAAAATAGGATTTTTAACACTGATACTGATCTTTGGTGATTAAAAAAATCTGATATATTAGCCGATATATTTTCTGTATAACGTGAAAGATGAACAGACTTCACCTTTCAGAGTTTGTTATGTGTTGTGATTTTAGAAGTCCTGACTAAGATAGTATAACAGTACAGTTTAAACGTAATCTTGGTGTATTGTCATAAAAGATCGTAGATTAGTGATTTACGCTCAGGTTGCATCAGCTGGCTGTTGTGTTTGTGTACTTCCAAACCTGTGTTGCCAACATGGAAGTTGCCCTCTGCTGGACAAACTGTGCAAAATCAACAGTTATAGCATGGTTGAAGGGTGTTTCTCCTGTCTCTTTTTTGCTGATATATTGGTATTAGCATCTGGCTGTAATCATTAATAATAATAAAAAAAAAAACATGTTGAAAGTTAGTGGGGAAAAAAGATTATGATCAGCCATTAAAGTGGGTTTGTGTATTTTTAAAAGAAAAAAATTATACCCGCATGTGTTCCCTCAACCTTTTTCACACCTCTGTACCACCAATGTCACCCCTATGGGGGTTCTGTCCCCCACCAGGGCGCTTACCTGGGAACCAAAGGTGATTAACTTTTGCCAGCAGGGTCTCTGGGCTGTGACACATCATGACTTATTTTATCACATGAAAATATACATATGCATATATTTTTAGTTGTATCCTGCTTACTAAAATATTTATTTTTTTCCACGTGCTATGTTTTTATTTTATTGATCTCCTTGTTTATAGCAGTCACAGCATGCTACTGATCACAACATGCTCTGCTGAGCCAGATAGAGGAAACAAGCTGCAGCAAGCATCTTTGCCACCTTATTTGCAGGATCAGTTTACACTCTTGGCCTGTGATTGACAGCTGAGAAAAAATACCAAACTCATTGCCAGAGCTCATGAATGGAACTGCATTGCTCAAATATTATACTCTGAAATTCACATTAATATAATTTTTCTGTAATTGCTTATTGTGCCTCACCGGCTGAGTCTGAATTTACATTCACTGAATGGTAACTGATGGACGACTGACGGGAGCTTTCTGTTGTTGGCACAGCACAGTTTCTGTGTCTGGCAGTTGCTTTTGCCCACTTTACTGGAACATTTCACTGCATATAGAGACCCGAGACATGGTGGGCAGAGCATCTCTATGTCCAGGTGACGCTTCTCTCGCAAGAATTTGCTACTGTTATTTTTAGCTGTTGTAGACTCTTAGGGGAAATGTAACACTCATGGTAATGAAACTCTGTTTGTTCACTCTTGTTCAATTAAACATTAAAGCACAACACCAGTGTTAATGACACACAGGTCACAGAGTCTGTTCGCCTCATCAGTTGCTGAAGCAAGCCACATTAGAGTCACAATTTAAGGTGACATTCAGAGGTGGCATTGTATTTTTAGCAACTGATGAACTGCCAGTCCTTGAAGTATCAAAGGTATAACTTCCCATTGTCTAAGACTGTGAATGATACAGTAGCTTGGAGTATTATTCATTCATCTATTTCCTACACTGCTTATTCTTTTAGAGGTGTTGAGAAGCAGAACACCTTTTATTTACTTATTAAGGACCACACACAAACTGGTTGGAACTTGTAGAAGCACATGTATGTGATGAACATAACCACATACCCTAACCATAAAAAGCTTCATATATACACTGAATTAACTAAAGGTATTCAAATGCTTATTGACACAAATATCTAATTAGTCAATCAGCAGCTCGATGCATTTAGGCATGTAAATATGGTCAAGAAAGTCCAAACTGAGCAATGGAGAACAAAGGTAATTTCAGTGACTTTGAAGTTGGCATGGTTGTTAGTGCCAGACGAGCTGGTCTGATTACTTCAGAAACTGCTGATCTACTGAGATTTTCCCACATTACTCTCTCTAGGGTTTCGAGAGAATGGCCCCAAAACAGTGAAACTTTCCACTGAGCAGCAGTTCTCGAGTGAAAATACCTCGTTATTGTTAGATTAGAATGACCAGAATCCTTTGAGCTGATAGAAGGCCAGCAATAACTCAAGTAACCACTCATTACCACCAAGGTTGTACCAAGCCAAAACCACCAACCAACAAAAAAGAGCATCTCTGAACACAACATACCAAACTTAAACACAACAGCAGGAGACCACACTGGGTACCACTCTTCTAAGTACAGGAAACTGAGACTACAGATAGCATGGATGGACTGTCAGAAATGAACAGCAGAATATTTTTGATATATCTGATGTGTCTCAATTTCTGCTGCATCACTGAGTTAGTAGAATTTTTCCATAAACCACATGTTGTAATGGTTTTGGGCAAAATATTCTCATTAGACTTTTTCATCTTAATACCAATTGAGCTTTGTTTAAACACTATTGTTACTGGTCATGTCTATCCGTTTTTGACCACAGCATACCATCTACTGATGGCTGCTTCCTGCAGGAGTTCTCTATTCTCGCCTCCATTGGCATCACATCTTAATATCAGTATGGCTCAAATTATTGAGGAATGGTTTCCAGCGCCTTGTAAAACTATGCCACAAAGGATTAAGGCAGTTTTGAAGGCAAAAAAGAAGTCCAGCCCAGTACAGCAAGGTGTAACTAATGAGGTGGCCGGTGAGTGTACTGTAGTCATCAGATCGTTATTATTAGAATTTTGTCAATTAAATTATTGCTTCTACTGTTACTATAAAAGATACAATTACTGACCCTTGCATCAAACCTTTAAAGCATAATGAAACTATGTTAACAAATATGAATTTCTTAAATATGGGAGAATACAGCACAGTGAGGCTCATCCTAGTATCCACCATGCTGGTAGTCTTAATGAGAATCCTCAATTTCATTCTCTGACCAGCAATTTAAAAAAAAAAGCAGAAAACAATCCTATGAGCACTACTTTGAGTTGTATTTTTCTTTAGTTTTAGACATGACTGTCCTTTTGGGGGGATTAGTGTCTGAGCAGAGAGGGGAGGGCTGATGGTTATGTCATTGTTTGGACTGAGTGGGAACCTCCCATCACAGATGTCAAGTTGAACTGCACCCATGACACCTATAAGGCTCAACAGTTACCGTGTCCCACCCCCGTTACACCTGCTCTGTGGGCTGAGCAGGACTGTACCCCTCTACACCGGCCAGGCTGAATATTTAGGGACAAACATATTTAAAATATCTGCCTCTGATAGCCGTAATTCCCCTTTTACTGTTGATATCAACACTATGTCAATATTGCACAATGTAGGCCTAATCCAAAAAGCTCTTAAACATGTAAGATGATTACAGAGCCGCTATAGTGATGTTGGACAGCTTACGTAACACACATATTTTCCTCTATCTCCTATATTTAATATGAGATATCCATACTTTGCACACAAGCTGTTGTCTTTTCTTTTCCGCCGTTCCCATTAGTTGTTCTTTTCCGCAGCCTCTGAAACTGCCTCTGCAGCCTGCCATAATCCCTGATCATGAATCCCTAACTCCCTGAGTAAACTGGTACTAGATGTGGCCGCAGATCCATGGTAACAAAATTCCACAGGGCATACCCTGGCTTTCCAGCATTGCTGCTAAATCTCATCTGTTATCTCAGTAAACCTAAGCTTCTTCCGCTCATATGCCTCATCTGCTGCATCTTCTTATGGTGAAGGGAGTTCTGCCATGTGAAAAAATAGCCCACAGACTGCTGGACCAGAGTACTAAGAAAAATCTTGGTGCATGGCTGAAATTATAAACCTCTGTAACTGTGACCTTTTTTTAAAGCACATCCTGCTTTTGACTATATTATGTTGTTTAAACATAATAGAACAGCACATGTGTAGGGTCAAAGTAATGCAGTATTCACTCGCTTCAAATATACTTAAAGGGTATGCTAAGTGTACCCTCTTGCACAGCAAACATCAGATATTATTTCTTGTTTCTTGTAGGAAAAAGGTCTGCTCTGATACAGTAAACCTTTTTTATCAGCCACAAAGTACGGTATACAGATATATATTTTTTTCAACAGAGCAAGAAAGAGGAGGAAATGAAAGCGCATTACTAGGGTTTGCCTGTTCAGGTTTAAATTAAAAATTCAGAAGGCAGATAGGGGGGTGGAGGACACTGAGCATCATCGACTGAGCTTCAAAATGGGGCCAATCCTCCCGCTGACCCACAATTGGGTCAGTTTTGCCCTTGTTTCTTAAATATATAGAGGAGCAGCCTTAATTCCATGACTTATATTAGATACTAGTGGCACTGATTTCAGGACTTCTGTTTTTTGTGGTCCAGCATCGCTCGAGTCAGATTGCATGTATTACATCTTTTCTTGCAGGTTTTCAAGGAAAGAGTTGTGAAGTTGACATAGATGCTTGTGCCCTGTCCAACAACACATGCCCACCAAATACTGAGTGTTTGGATCTCCCTTATGGGCTTGAGTATACCTGCTGTGTACCCTGTCCTCAGCACCTTCAGGTGTGTAAAAAAAAATCTTGACGTGCTTTTTTTGTCCTCGTCTACTGTCTGCAAATATAAATAAGCTCACTTCTCAGTAATATCATTTTGTGGATTTGTTTTATTTTTTTATGCTAGACAAAGTTTTGGATATAACTGCGACATATCTCGACAAACTAAAACTTCAGAAGGTGTGGGTTTCAGAGAGTCAGTGTTTTTTCTGAAATGGTGAATATTCTTTCATAATGGTTTTCTTTTATGAATAGAAGATTGGCACCAAGTGAAAATCCCTAAACATAGCAATCATCGGATGTTGCGGCTGCGCAATATCAATCAGCTTTAACGGAAAGAAAGTTTTATTAAATTCTTAATCGAGAAATCAAATGAAATTTTTCGCTGTGCGAAAAATAAAAACAATAAAAAGCATAATGTTAACAGTTAGTTAACAGTGTAGTAAATCTTAGATTTTTTTTTTTAATGCAGTTTCCATATATAGTACATAAGAAATTATGTTGGAGGAAAGCAACGCTGGAATTGTCTTTGGCAGGATTTTTGGATTGTGTTTGGCATGAACAATGTTTGCACATTTACAGAACTGAAAAGGCCACCTGACTTGGATGTATATGTTCGTATGTGTATATTATGTATGCGTAAACAGAGAAAGTGCTTCAGATGACAGATGGAGATGATCGCTCACTGTGTAGCAATGCTTGTGTTGGCCCTTGTACAGAAGTGCCATGATGCCTGTATTATAGACCTTTCCACAAGCAAGCTTTTCCCCTGCCCCTTTGTTTTTCCCCGGTGGCATCCACATGCTGGCAGGTGTACTTTTTATTTCCTCTCGGGAGGTTTAGCCTTCAGTGACCATTGATCTTGTCTTGTATGACATGTAGCTGCTACATGGAATCCCGAGTGACCCCAGTATAAAGCATGAATCAGTATTCATGACTTTGTCGTGCGATTTTAATGAAGCTCATTTTCAGGGATCCAGGGGCAAGAAATGATTCGGAGAAAAAAAAGATGGTTATATTTTCTTTAATCTGAATAAGCTCAGCCCCATTTAAAATATCATACAAAATAAAAGAGTTGCACATGAAAGAGCATATCTTGTTTCATGATTTGTGTATCTAAAAACATCTATTTCCAATCAACAGCCTTGTGCCTTTGGAGGATGCTGTGTGTTAAATAACAGCAATGCTTATCGATGCATCTGTACCCCTGGATGGTCTGGGCAGGACTGCCGCGTAAATGTCAACGACTGTATTGAACATGGGTGTCAAAATGGAGGCACTTGTATGGATGAGATTGATGGTTACAGGTTAGTGTTCAAATCCTGATGGTCTTGGGGCTGTTCTGCCACCAGAATGTCAATGATTGTAAAAGCTGTTACATTTACTGCTCTTTTCCTTCAGGCTTGAAAGAATTCTTCTAACTCTATACAGTATTAAGAGATTCTCTTTGATCTGTTGCTAGCTGCCTTTGTCCTAGAGGATACACAGGCATCTACTGTGAAGAGGACATTGATTACTGTGTTGACCACCGCTGCTCTGAACATGGTTTTTGTCTGGACCAGCAGTATAACTTCACCTGCCGTTGCATGCTTGGATTCGAAGGACCGCTTTGCGAAGTGGAAATAAATGAGTGCCACAGCCTCCCTTGTTTAAATGGTGCCACCTGTGCGGACCTAATCAGTGATTATCGGTGCCACTGTCCCCCAGGATTTGAGGGTATGAGACCATCTGATGTGAATGCAGTGCTGTTTACAATCATTAATAGTACCAGTGACAGGAATATGAGGTTCTCGAGCAGTTTTTAGTGTGCTAATTATGGAACATATAATTAGCAAGTTTATCATAATTTTTAATGAGTAAAGCAATAAAATTTAAATTTTATAGGCAGTCATGTTAAAGAGAAATTTTTTACATGACTCTTTGCAGTCCTGTGAAAAACGTGCCCCCTTACTGCATCCATGTAATTTAAGATGGTAAGTAACAGCAAGTGGGGGATGAGGAAGTGTGTTTTACTGACTGATCATTAGTAATTGTGAACACCTCTATAATAATAGAAGGTCAAATGTGAGGCCATCTGTCCGAGACCCAAAGCTTGACAGAAATTGGCTCGACCCAAACAACAGGGCATTGATCCCAAGCACAGCAGCAAATCTGTGGCAGAAAGCAAAGAATCACTTAATCAAAGAATCAGCCATTCATGCAGCTTTGTGTTAACAAGACCAGCAAACAGCCAAAACTTCAGCTCTAATAAAGTGTCCTCAAATGATGTACTTACTTTTTCACAGGACTTCTTTGAGTTTTCTTAATCTTTTTCCCCCCACTTTATCTATATATGGTCTACATCTTGCTGCCTTCACCGAATTACTTTTTTCCCACGTGTATCCGGTTCCATTCCAACTTTTCATTATATCACTAAGCACTGCAGAGTGAAAATAACTGTTAGCTAAATAACAAAAATGAAAAAGATTCAGAGTGTGAGGAAAAATCCTAGAAACATTCCTACAGAGTGTCAAACACACGCCTGATCACCTACATCAGAATTCCCTACAAAGGAGAGATTTGCAGCTTCTCATTTCAAGTTGTTGAATTGCACTTGTGCACTGGGGCTGCTGTCTCATATACTGCTGTTAGAAACCCTTGCTGTTAAGGGGCCTCTGAAGAAATGCTACGTGCATGGCTTATTGGCTTTGCAAGTGATGGTGCAGCTGCTGTGGTAGGTCAATAGAGAGGAGCAGCTAAACTCCTGTGTGAAAACATCAACCTTAACTTGACCGTCGTTCACTGCATCATTTGCTAGTTTGACATTCGGTTGGATCACCTGTATCTAAAGAGCAATACAAGAGATTAAGAATATCGCATCAGTGGTTTTATAATCTGAACACTCTAACAGCTCTCAGAGTATACATCACTGTGGTCCCTGAATTATTTGCATAAAGAGATAAACAAACAAAAAAATCACCTGGTGGGTTTTTATATTTAAAATTTTAAAACTACTTCACCTATTACTTATTCAGTACCAACCTGATTTACAAGTGATGTGAATGTGTAAACAGCGGTGAATTAAAGTAAAATCAGTTAGCTAAGCTAATGGGGGTGGCTGATTTACTATTGAACTGGGTATACAATATCTAGTAGAGAATGTATGTGCAGGTACAGTCAGCAGATGCTTTAATTATCTGAGTACCTTACAGTACATGATTAAGGGAGTGCCTACCAGTGTATGGGGTCATGATGGTGAAAGTACAATTACCTTTGGTATAGACAGCCGTGCAGATAGACGAGCAGTGCCCGAGGATGTCTGGCTGTTAGTTCTCTGAGCTCTCTGGCTCACCGAGAACTAAGAGGGCTGAAATATTGCCAGAGGCCAGACCTGGCGCAGCTTTAAATTTGTCAGTAAAAATCTTTAATCAATTCCGTTCCTAACTCTTGCCCTGAGGATACTAAAACCAGGGCTACGGCATTTATGCATGCACGCAAGCAGCAACATGCTGAACACATAATCATTCAATCACATTTTGAGCCGCTAGAATCAGAAGTAATCAGCTGCCTCATGAAATAAAACCAGGTGCTGGTTTATTGATGTGATTCGAGGACAATAAGCAGAAATTTGTACTGCATATGTTCTGATTGTTGTTCTGGTTGCAAATATGAGTCACATGTTGGACTTCACTGGAATAATTGTTAAACTGGCAGGCTGACAGTCACATCTGTGGTAGAGACATATTTAAAGTGTTTTGTTTTGTCCTGTAATACTGTATAAACCCCTGCAGGAAGGATCTGCTCTGAAAATGTAAATGATTGCTGGCCACAGCCTTGTCTAAATGGAGGCTCATGTATGGATCTGATAAATGACTTCATTTGTCACTGTCCAACTGGTAAGTATCGTCTAATTGTGTATAACTAAGTATGTTTATAAAAATATCATGCTATTAATTTTCTCTATCGTTTACCATGGGAATAGCTGAAATTTCTTGCAGTTACATCCAACTTCTTTCTTTGCTTCTCACTTTTTTGTTTAAAATGCACAAAGTTACCAGAGATCTTTGTTCTTCAGAAAGTTTCAATGCAAGAAAAAGGTTCTACCTGAGGCAACTATAAATTGGTATTGCAGATTGGGGTTACAAAAAATAACTGTTAGCATTTTAAAATTTACTTTTTATAACCACGGTTGAAACTGATTGCCAGTAAACCCAGAAAAAAGATACGGCCTTTCCTGTTTTGTAAAACACTGATTTGTCCACATATACAGTAATTCAGCTTCTGCTTACTGTAGGTGTGAGCTTGTTCTTTAATCAGGTTTTCCACATTTAGCATATTTATAACAAGTGTTATAAGAAGGGTCCATAATCAGTCCATGAGAGAGGGAGGTGCTGTAGTCCTTCGAGAGCAGTGGTAATAAAATACTGATTCATTACTTGATTGCGCGACAGAATGCCACAGCCAGGCCGCTTGGCATAACACGTCCAATGTCACATTGAACTGCAAACAACCACAATCCACAAAACAGGATTTACAGATAAATATTTGAAAATAAATCCCACAAAACATAGGTGCTGACCGGACAAGAAAAAACACTTTGGTGTCGAGCAGTAGGTCATTTTGCCCATTTGTTTTCTTAATATATAAAATAGTAGAAAAGTTGTATACAATATGCAATTCAAGTCATTTTGGTACATTTTTTAAGCACCAAATCCCAACCACACTTGCCTCAAGGCGCTGAATAAACAAATAAATAAACACATGTAGTTGAATTAAAAGTAACTTGAAACAGCGCCTGTTATACGTGTATTTTATGGCCTTGCGGATATTAAAAAATGCATCACTGTAAATAATCTGATCTTATTATTTTCTGCCTTTTTCTCAAATTAGATTTTGTAAAAAACAGAACACCAGTGTGTGAGTAATGGTTCCATTACGGTTATAATTTCACTGACAGATTTACAGACAGGTGCTTTTGATCACTTTATCCCGTGAGAAATTTAATTAGATAATCTGTCAAACATACATGCTTCCTACTACAAAAAGCACACAAAAAGAATCAGACAAGATCTCCTGTTTGTGTTCAAGTCCATTCCTGCCACCTTGTCTTGTTTGGAGCTACAGTCCATCATATATGTGTTTTCCAGTTTAGCTTGAATTGGGTGACAGTATTTAATTTTTTTTCCAAATGTATATGAAACAGAATTAGATTAGAAGAGTTGTACAGATTATTCAATCAAGACTGGCCAGTCTTATAAATGTGTTTTGTTTTGTTTTTTAGAGACAGAAAAAAAAGTTTAAGCTGCATCTAGATGGGTAAACACACACACTGATTGGCAGTTGTGCTCATTTGTTGATCGCAGCTGTATTTCCTGGGGGATTCCCAAGTTCTGTGAAGATGGTACTTGTTTAACTCAGCAACTGCCCACATTCTGAAGATATAATATTTTAGTTAAGAAGAAATAGCAATGACGTCTCGCTGTTCCAATTAAAAAAAAAAAAAAAAAAACGTGCACCAAATTTTAAGGAATTGAGAATGTTGTAAAATAAACCAAGGTGTAAATGTGCAAGACCTAAACTGATTCATACAAATGCAGCTAGTTGGATTATTAACATTTAACATGAACTAAAGGCTAAATGGTGTTATGGCAGATTACCTGAATTGAATTGTGTATGAACTCAGTGACCACTTTGTTGGATGCACCTTGCTAGTACCTGACATTTAGGTACAACAATCTTATTCAAGAAAGCAGTTTGAGATGATTTGAGCTTTGTGACATGACGTGATATTCTGCTTCAAATAGCCATTGGAAGATGGAAACAATGTGACCATAAAGGGATGGGTGTGGTTTAAAAGATCATCAGTTGGTATTAAGGGGCTCAATCTGTGCCAAGAAAATATTCCACACACCACTGCCTACAAGCCAAAAATGGATCTATGCTTACACCCTACCATTTGGTTGTCTGAACAGAAACTGACACTTACCAGACACGGCAACCTTTTTTCTAATTTTCTGTTGTCCAGTTTTGGTAAGCCTGTATGAATTGTAGCCTCAGATTCCCATTATCAGCTCACAGGAGTGGCACCCAGTGGATTGTGTGCTCAGTGAGGATCTTCTGCATACCTTGGTTCTAATGCATGGTTCTTTGGGTGACTTTGCCTGTCCTAGCAGCCTGACCATTCACCTCTGTCCTCTGACATGAACAAGGCACTTTCACCAAGAGAACTGCCGCTCTTTTTTTGGACCATTCTCTGTAAACTTTAGACCTGGCTGTGTATAAAATCCCAGTAGATCAGCAGTTTCTGAACTGCTCTGCCCATCTGGCTCCAACAACCTTGCCATGTTCAAAGTCATTTAATACACCTTTATTCTCGATTCTGATGTTCGGTTTGACGTTCAGCAGATCTTCTTGACCATGTCTACGTTCCTAAATGCATTGAATTCTTACCTTGTAATTGATTGGCTAATTAGATAGCTCTGAACAGTTATACCTAACAATGTGGCCAGAGAGTATAGTTTGTACTGTACCATGTTACCTAACAAGCAGATCATTAATGAAAGCTAAACCCAAAACCTACTCAATGTAAATGCGTGTTTCATTAGAATATCTTGTGGGTATGAATTTTGAAACCAGAAGAAATTCATCTGAGGACTGAGCCACTAGTAGGTGTCAGATAGGATAGGGAGTACCACTTGGAGATGGTGACACTGTAAATGTGACATTCCTTCATGCAACATTAACCTCAGAGTGAACTGCATGCACAATTGGTTATTAAACACTTCTGAAACACTCTGTTGGAGGCAATAGCTGTCCATTAACTAGCCAAGGTAATACATAATTTAATGGGGAAAAAGGGTAGTTGGAAGGTCATCAGATGTGCTGGTGGAAAGTAAGCTGGTCTGGATTCAGGTTACAGTCTAAAGAAAGTGAAGTCCACTTCTAGTTAAATGCATTACACAATCCAAGAGAACTGACGGCAACTTCACACAGATATTTGCGATGGAAATATAACTAGACTAGCACTATCATATTTTTTCAGTATTACTCCATATTAGTTTTGCCCATATTAAAAGGTGATCTATTTTAAGACTCTTCCCATTCATATTTATCTATTTTTGGAAACGTTTAATGCATACCAGTCTCCAAATCTGTCTGTTCTTTATTTGCAGCAGTAGATATTGACAGAGGTATCTATCAGTGACATGCAGATGTGCGTGTGTAGGGGTAGATAATGTGATATAGATCAGTCCAGTGTGGTAGGTCCCTGTCAATGATTCACTCAATTAGCATACTGCATAGCAGGTAGATTGCAAGGAGAAAAATCAATACGTCCATTAATCTGCTGAATAAAAGCTGTCTTTATCTAATAAAACATGCAGCCATAAAGGTGTGTTGCATTTTGTGTGTTTATGTATTCAATGCTTGTGCCTTGATTCCTCAAGGTTTTGCTGATTTTTGCTTTTGCATTGTTTCAGGGTTCAAGGGGAAAGATTGCTCTTTGGATATTGACCTTTGCTCGTTTGGAATGTGCAGTGAACATACATTAAAATGCACCAAGACCAAGGATGGACAGAATTTCTCTTGCACATGTGAAAGAGGTGAGCAAGTCTTTTAACAGGTTAAAAGTAAGCACACAAATCTGTGTTTTGCCTGCTTATTTGTCCACATATTTACAGTGAAAAAAATTACATAAAAATGAAATTGCCTCCACTGACTCACTGGTAAATTAAGCTTCACAAATGTCAGTTCTCTGCAAATCATTATTTCATTAGAAAGATCATCACTTCATGCCTTACTTTACTGCAGAAAAATTTCTTCTTTTAGATCATATATTAAAATTTGCACCTACGCTGATGCATTATGTTTTTTAAGTTCCAAACTGTCTGATTAAAAAAATGCTGATTTTCAAAGGATAATGTCACGGTTTCTTAAAAAAAAACAACCAAAAACTTAATTTTGTTTGTGTGTCAGTCAAATCTCTTGGATTCCCTTCCATGTGGATGTCACTGTTATCACAGCATGTCGCTGCCAGAAGTGACAGGGATAAGACAAGAGTAAGTGGAAGGGGCTTGATCTCTAAGATACTCTGAAGCTTGCCAGGGTTATCCAGGCTTCAGAGACTTACAAGTCAGTAGCGTGTGTGAGTTTGGTGCTGTGTAAGTACACACAAGGGGAATCATGCAGTTTTTTTTTTCTGGATGCAGTTAGGGTACTTGGAATAATAAACATTTGCTAGCCATACCAGTCATAATTCAGCCAACACTAGTCCTCAGCAGCACCTCTATCTCTGCAAACGAATGGTTGTTACATAAAAGTCCATGTAACCTAATCAATAACCGTAACTTCATTACCCCCGTTGCATTTATGCTCGGCAGATGTCACAGTGAAGGATCGTGAGTGATTTCTTATGTAAATGCAAGCAACCTGCAGCTAGCTGCTCTCCCTAAAACACTTCTCAAGGGCAAGCTGTGAGGTGCTGTTTTGTTTAGATATTTCTTGTCGACAGTCTTGGCATCCATATTATCTAATGCTTTTGAGCCTAAGGTGTTGTAAAACATGTTACTCATGCCCCTCACTATACTCACTATCCCACGCTGCCAACTTTTTGACCTAATATTTAGTACATACGCTAAAGCACACCCATCCGTGGTCTGAGAATGAACTCAGATTGGTCGATTTTGCATGCAAATGTGTAATTTCTATATGAATAAAATATGAAAGTTGATTGGGAAATGTTTCATTTTGCACTGGCATTACATTAAGAGAGTTTAGTGAATGAAGTTATTTAACTCAGGATTGTAGAACACAGCAGCTGGGTTTGTTTTCTTCTGTTTCTCTTCGTTTTAACCCCGTGACTTTTATTGTGCAAACTTATAAACTTCTTTTCCTGCAGTAAGACAAATTCCTTGTCCTTTTGATCTTTGCTAAATTTCTAATTGTGAAGGTCATCTTCAGACCGTTACATTTGGATAACTGTGTGTGAAAGATTGTGTACACTCAAACAACTACTCTGTGGCAGATAAGTGGGACATTAACCCACACACAGCTTGTGTAGCACCAGAAATAATGTGCTTAAAACACTGGCATGTTTCCTCTTTGTAATGGCCCGCGTGAGTGTGCTTACATGTGTGCGCTGATGCATGTTATTTGTTTTATGCGGTTCTCTTTGTGTATTGATTGACTTTGATCTTAAAAATCACTGGATTTGGCTTGTTTAATGTAATAAATCAGAAGGGCAATGACTGCCTCTTATTAAACATGATTAAATGATCCAGTGAGCTGAGTCTGCATGTGCCCAGCAAGTTCTTTGAATCAATACGAGCTTTGAAAACCAGCTTTTGTTTGTGAAAACAAAGTCATGCTGATCCTAATTGACTGAGAAAAAAAACCAGCCAAAAAGGATTCAAATAACACTTTTTTTTCTTTCTTTCTACATATGCTGCAGGGTTTGGAGGGTCATTTTGTGAAGTAAATCTTAATGAGTGCCAGTCAAACCCATGTCAGAATGGTGGCATTTGCGTGGATGGCATTGACATGTATCAGTGCTTATGCTCAGAGGGTAAGTTGTAATGCAATTATATGTCCCAATAGTCAAGATAATATCATTATATTGCTTATTCAGACTTTGTTGGTTTTAGCCCTAAAGTTATAACCATGGTTTAAATGAAATAGCTATTCAGAAACACTTTTACATTCTTTTCTTTTTTCATTTGGAGGTCGTTTTCTTATTCTTAGGGACAAATGGGCAAGCAGAGATGAAAAGACATTGACTTATTTCCACTGCAGCTGCGATTCAAGTGATTCACGAAGCGAGGCTTTTTATTTTTTGCTACAAGGAAAACTCTTTTAAAAGTATCCAGGTGACAAAATGAGGGCACCATCACCATTTGTGTACTTTACTGTAGACTGATACTTACTGTAAGACATAATACTTTGTTTAAACAGAGTTGAATGTGGTAAAGAGTTTTTCTTAATTGCTTTGTCGCTTCTTTAAAGCTTTTTTAAAGTAGCCGAGCTCTAATTTCACAGTGATATCTACTTCAGTTTTAATCTCAAGAATCAAAACATCTGTAATAGTTTACTGTATTTTGAATAATTTTAGCAATTGCAACACATATTTTTATCTACCTTACAGCAGTTTCTCCAAAATTCTCATCTTATGAGCTCATTAATGCATGAAATGAACTGAACCACCCCCTCCAGATTCCTCTCCCCAGCACAAAAAATCTTTTCACTATGTCAGAAGAATGCACGGTACATTCAGTAAGTTTATTGCTTTCAAGTGAACAGTGGAATTCTTGTGCATTGCATTGCAGCACAGACTCTTTTAGATCTATTGGATTTGTCCTGAACAAAAATGAAATAACTAGTGTTATCCACACAGGCCTTCACGGAATCTGCAAGGACTCAATTCCAGCATAACTACATAAGATTATTGTTCCCTGTCTCATTTGTCAGGATAGAATTTTGTCAAAATTGAAACGAAGCTAATAGAGCTAAGAGCAGAATTCAATTAAAATCTGTGTAAAGGTACTGTACTCTCCCCAACAGCTGTTTTTTTTTTTTAACCATACAAAGCTGATTGCTAGCTTTACTCAGGATAATATTCAGTTAAACATTTTGAATCTCCTGGTTTGCAGTTCAAGGTTAGCAAGTATTTGCTTAGATTTCTCCGATCACATAAAATCATTCAATCAGAAATTGTCACGTGTGTCATTAGTGTAAAAGAAATAAATCACACCTATTTTTCCTGTAATTTCTTGGTCCGGTTGACATCTTACCTGTGAGACATACCTCTGATTAATCTGTGATTGTGGGTGAAGCCTGTTATGCATTTTTAATGAAGTCAGGATAATTGTCAAATTTTATGACTTGGAGAGAGGTGGAAATTGGTTCCATGGTCAGTTTGAGAAATGATGAGAATTTGACCTGCACCGATGGTGCTGATAGCCAAGCATTAGTCATGGGCCTCCTGTAGCTGCAGTGTGTGACAGTGCTAATGATAGTCATTTTGTAGCGTGACCACACGGTGGAATATATTTATGAGGGACTAAAATGTCAGAAATTGGCAGCATTCACTTTTACATGATGACTTCAACCTTTTAATTTTTTAAATATCAAATGTAGTGAGATAACTCAGAATTAACCACCATGAAAAAAAAGCATAAACCGGTGAGCACGCAGAGTGAAAACATACATCTTATTTTCCTGTGGCACAGTGTATTCTCTACCTTGTTAACTTGTGGAAAAAGTCATGTAAAATTAGATGAAAGCCATAAATTGCTTTGGGTTGTAATTTATGGGTAATTAGTATCTTTTCAAGTCTGGTGTTTACTGACATTCACACACCATATCTGATATGTGATTTTTGCTTTTCTTTCCATACGAGGATTTAAGGGGCTGAACTGTGAAATCAACTATGATGAATGTGTCTGCACCAATAACTCCACATGTATTGACCTGGTTGCAGACTATGAGTGCATCTGTCCTGCGGGTTTTGCTGGCGAGTTATCTGTGTTATCATTTTCACAGTGGGCCTTGATGAACATAGCCTAGTTCAATGAATGTTAAACAGCTATAACCATTAAAATATCTGGCTTTACTAATGTAAGAGTGTATCTAATTGATAATTAAAAATCCACACGTATAAGCTGAATATTGGATAAATCTGTCTACATATAGAACATGTGGTACAGAAATCCAAAACATCACTTTATCCTCTTAATAAGCACAAAGTGCAAACATTTAAATTACTTTGGGTAATTTCCCTAACTAATACATGTTCATTTATTTTTTTTAAATTAGGATATTAATGAAACTTTCATTCCAACCCATATATGTTTAACAAAGAAAACCCAAACATATTTTTCAATAAACCATGTGTGCTTTCAGCGGTGAGAAAAAAACTTGATAGACACTAAAAGTGCAAAGATATGGCAATTACACAGCATTATCTCCCCTACTGACTTCATTACTAAAACACACACACTTCTCACTTTAATGGTCTTTCCTCCCTACAGTCAAATTCATTTGTGTGTCACCTTGTTGAGACGTTTCTGTATGTTTCCAGTCCTATCGTTCGTCATTACCTTGATAAATTAACAATCTTGTTAACAATGTTTACCTTTTCAGGAAAAAATTGTTCATTGTCCGACTCGCCATGTACACCAGACCTCTGCAAAAATGGAGGAACCTGCTCCTACAGCTTGACTGGGGAAACGCAGTGCATTTGTCCGGCAGGTATTGAACGAGCCTTTACACAGCAGACTGGCATACATTTATTTAATCTTTGTTTTGACATATTGATCAGACATACTCATTGCTCCAGTCACTAATCTATAAATGTTGAACAGTGGGCTTCATAAAAAATAGTATTAAGTTATTTAATCGATGTAGCCACACTGAGCATCACTTAATTAGACGCCCAATCCCTTTTGTAACTTCAGTCGTTAGTGCACATTAAAACATATCACTGTTGTTGTTTTCTGTGGAATAATCAACACATATTTTACCTCCAATTGAATATCATTAGAAGCCAATATGCACATATTCAGATTGGTGAAAAGGCTGACTGTATGTTTTCCTGTACTATTTCTGAAGTCTCTCTTTGGCTTTATTGATATATACGCTGACTGGTTGAATTATGCAAGTCAGCAAGGACTAAAAATCCTGGCAATGACATATTTACATGAAATCACAATTCATGATTTTTGACAGATGTGGAACAGCTTACTGTACACAGCACATAGCATCAACCATGCCTTTGATCCCACCTCTTACAGGATACCTTGGCAAAGATTGCTCCTCATCGGTAAACCAATGTGTGTCAAATCCCTGCAACCCCGAGGGAACCATCCTCTGTGAAAAGCTGGAAAATACTTCTAGATGTGTGTGTCAACATGGGTACACTGGGCGGCACTGCAAAACACCTATAAACCACTGCATTGATGGCCTGTGTCAACATGGTTCAGCGTGTGTCAATCTATCAGGAGGGTTCAAGTGTGATTGTTTACCAGGTGGGTTCATCACTCTGCAGGGGCTTGTTTCAGGTGCGGCATTTCCTTGAATGAATCATGTATATAGCAGACACACTCCCAGTTTGAGCCTTTTACTTGTTCAGCTTTCTTCTCTGTGGGAGTCTAATCTCTTTGGCCTTAAGCAACAACACATAACAGTCTTATGAAATGTGTAAGTCAAGGCTCAGTTCATCAGGTTGTGAGCTGACTTCAAAGCAGTGGTGACGTTTAGGATTCCTCTTTGCCCACGTAGACTCCACAAGTCTTCCTTTAGCAATGTATCCCTTTGATAAAATACAAGTAAGCACATCTATTATTATAACATGAAATATTTCAATCCGAAATTGCAGTCATTACTTCATTTCTATTTGATAAAAAATGCAACCTGTACTGGTAATTGCCGCACTTACTGCACTAGCAGTGGCCACAAAGAATTGTTATAACAAATGTTTAAACCTCCAGATCACACTGATAATTTTGGTACTTAGTAAAACGTTAATAAAATAGGACAATCTTTGCAAATTGTTTAGAAATGCTAAAAAATTTCATTAGCAATCAACTGTCGTCTACCTACAACATCTCGAATGACTAATTTCCTTCTCTAAGAAGTTCTTTCATAGCTTTAAGTGAACAGTGTGGAAGGCACTGAGGGTTCATTGCTTGTATGAAGTGCTGTGTTTTCATTTGAAAGTAAAACCAGTTGTTTTTTTTGGGTTTTTTTAAAACAGAAGAAAATTGTAGTTATAAAAAGCCTCAAACCAAACATGCTCATGACAAACATCTTACATTTTTAATGCATGTTGATTTTATGCTTAAAAGGTGCACTTTGGGGTTTTCTTGTAAAAAGGCTTATGTTTTCATTAATTATTTCTCCTATAACACACTGCAACAATAACCGCATGTCTTCCCTTAACATGAAACACAAAGACATTTTGGAATTTTATTTAACCCTGCTCTGTTATTAACATTTGCTTCCTCGCAGTCTTCTTCTTCCAAACCATTGTGGGTACTATGCATTTCTTTTTTATGGTATCAGCTTATCTTGCTCATGTGTGCACATGTGCAACCTTGCACAATAAAATATGTGCAGAAAAGTCCCAAAAACACTGTTTCAGAGTCCAAAATTCCACATAAATATTTACATTTTTGTTTTTTCCTTAACAATAGTACACTCAGTGTACGTTTTGTCATTTTCTTGAGTTATAGAGATAAATAATATAACTTTCAGAGATTTAAAAAAAAAAACAACGGTATGTTATCAAGCATCCTAAAGGGATAACTTTAAAGAAATGCAATGTAAAAATGAGAGATCACGTAGAAACTCTCACCCTTTTTCCACAGGTTTAACAGGGCAGTTTTGTGAGATAAACATTGATGACTGTGAAAAAGAGCCATGTGGAGTCCTGAGCATTTGTAAAGACACTTTGAACGGCTACAATTGCTTCTGTGCACCAGGATTTATTGGTAAGTGAAAGCTATCTTGAAGTTATTCTTTGTGAGTTAAAGTGACATTTTATTCACAGAAGCAATTTGTCAACATGCAGTCCTTCTTTTATATTTTCTTAGGAAATAATTGTGAGATTGAAGTGAATGAATGTCTCAGCCAGCCTTGTCGCAATGGAGGCTCCTGCGTAGATGAGCTCAACTCATTCAGCTGCCAGTGTCCCCCTGGGATCACAGGTATTTTATATGGTTCTTACCATGACTGCTCAAAATTATATGTGTGACCTATGAAAATAAAGCTGAGCAAGAGTCACTCGAAATAACTGGCAAATGTCTATAAACATTAGCAAGCATAGTGAAAATATAATATCCATATATTATGTAATTTATTGTTAATGCAACACGGAAAATGTATGTTTGTTTTTGACACAATGCCATGAATGTAAGATCATATATTAATTTAATACACAAATATGTATTTTTTTCTTGTTCTGTTTTATTACTATATATTTACAGCTTCCTTAAAATGTATTTTAAAATATTTATTAAACAGTGATAGCAGTTTGATTTGTGATCCAATTTTGAGAAAAATCAAAGTGTTAAGAGTTTATTGCCCACAGCTGAAGTATGAAAATGATCTTAAAGTGCATAAAACTTTACAGGCTCGAGGTTGGATGTGGTGCTTCTGAAGTTTCACTGAATGTATTTAATGTCTTATAGTCATAGCTCTTGAAAAATGTTTCCTTAAACAGGTAATACAGTAAGTTTAAATTGTAATGCTAAAATTGTGTAAATATTTCCTTGCTGTAAATGTAATTTTTGGATTTTTGGAAACAAATATCTTTGGATTTGATGCCTCCAGATGTGGCTATTTTTAACATAAGTGTTGAGTAAAATAAGCAAAAGCAGTGTTTACTTTAACCCAACTACACTCTTGCTAATCAGGGGTATAAAAATGTAGTCTGTGTTGTCAGAGGAGAGCCAGAGGATGTTTATCCTTCTGAGAACTTCAATGCTGCCATTAAATTTTTCACAGATTATTTAATACATCTGTGCAAAGTAGAAATGTTTGTTTGGTATTGTCATTAGCACAATAAGGGATTCATAAACTCATAAGATGTCAGTGTTTATCTAAATAAAATCTAAAAGGCTTTGATATTGACATTTCATGGGTTTTCTGAACTGAAATCTAGAGGAAACTTCATAAATTTTACCAAATACTGACTTGAAAAGTGTTATTCTCTGTTTGTAATTAAAGACGTAATTGAGTCACCAAAATCAGAATAAATTCCCAGAATATAATAGAACATATGTCTTAGCAAGTCTGCTTTAATAAAATGTCATGTAGCATTCATTACTGGACAAAAACTTTGAAAAAAAAAACACAAAAACTTGGATGTCTCGACTGTGCTAAAGAGAGATCACTTAGATAATTATTTCTGGGAAAGCTGACCGTCACTATGGGCAGCAAGACTAATCCGATGTGTTAATGCTTCCATCATGCAAATCTTTAGAAAAGATCCACAAAGGAGGAGATGAGGTTAAAAAAAACCCAGCTCTATTGTTTATAGTGTTACAAGTGCAGCACAAACAGTACACTGTAATTACATGGAATGTTGGTGTAATTCAAAGACCCGTTATCATTTTGGCATTTCACACTATGTAACAGCCTCCTCTAAAGCTTACAGAGAGTAAATGTGCGAAACAGCGATAGTGAAGGAAAAAAATCATCTTGCTGCTTGGTTAGTTTGCTGCTAATCTGCTCTCTATTTTGAGCAAAACACAAGGACAGAACAGCAAGTCAATAGTCTGTATTCTATAGAATGTGTGTGTGTGCCCATCAATCATTTTATTATGTACACCTGCTCATGTTTGTTAATGCAACTATGTAGGCATAGTCAAAATTACCTGTTGAGCATACATGCATATACACATTTAACCGTCATGCCAAATAAAGCATATTTCTTTCCTTCAGTCAAATCTGTGCTGTATGGCACTTTTTGACCATTTGTGACTGCTGCTGCTTGTTAACATTATAGGCATCTACTGTGAAGTCAACATAGACGAGTGCACGTCCTCTCCCTGCCTGCACAATGCCACTTGCGTTGACCTAGTTCATGCCTACGGATGTCTCTGTATGTCTGGCTTTGCAGGTCAGTGAATGCACTTTATGTGAATACTTCTGTAATGTGTGATGTGACATCCTATACATATATTTATTTTGCATAATGTGTGAATAGTTTTCCAGTACAAATAAACAGAGAAGCAATAAAACTTCACAAAAATGGGGGTTGTGGACGTGAACATGTCTCTGAGGTTGAACAAGTACTAAATCTGCAACAGATCTTGGGCTATGAAGCACTGTACTGTACGTTTATGCTAGCAGTTTATAGTTCAGACTCGCACTAACATGTGAACATGAATCTACAGCCATAGTCATTCCTCTGCTTTGTTGTATTTAGGTGTAAAATGGTCATGGTTATTTAGGAGCAATTAGTAGAGCGGTGTTACGTTTGCACTCATCTTATCCTGTAGTGCTTTTTGCTTTACATGTGGTGCTACGATGCTCACTGTTTATAGTGCAAAGTTGACTGTAGATTAAACCACAGGTAAGACTCCCAAACTTAAAGGTCAACTACAACAATGGCTTTTGAACTGTTTCCTAGCAATTTGCTAATAATTCTCACAGAGCAGGATTCACAGTGCAGACCCAAAAATAGAAGTGGTGCAGTGCTCAATCCTGTGAAATCTTACACGCACAAAGGAGGTGATTTCTCTTCTTTCTAAAATTCTTAAGGATTATGCATTTAAAACTTTTTTCTTTTTGCATGTTGACAAATGATATGTAAAATAGAAAGAGGATGTTCTTGCTGCTCCAGCTACGTTGCTGCAGCACAGCAGGAAACCCTTTATGGCATTATAGCTCTGTTTAGCACTTCTTTCATTCTCTGTGTGTAGCATTAAGGTCCGCAATATCCCCTCCCCACAAAGGATGCCAAAAGTACATGTTGTTTATCCACATTCAATTTGCTTTTCTTCGTCAGGTGAAAGATTGATGTAAAGTAACAGCAAGAACATGCGGTACAGCATAGATAATAATACAGAAAAGGTCATTTTTAATTGGTTGAATTACTGAATGTTTACGTCGATCACTCTTCGGCATAGCATATTTATCAAGTTGTGTTCTTTCCCGTCAAAGGTACAACATGTGAACTCGACATTGACGAGTGTGCTTCATCTCCCTGCAAGAATGGAGCCACTTGCATTGACCAGCCTGGTAATTACTTCTGCCAGTGTGTGGCTCCATTTAAAGGTAATGGGCACTGAGAGAATGGGGACAAAAAGCAAAGTTAATTAAATTCACATACTATTATTTTCACCTGTCTGAACTAACTTCACATGTCTCAACAAAATTAGTAAGTCTTTATTCTTAATCTGTAGTTAAATAAAGAACTCTTGAATAACTAGGCAGGTATAAGCCACAGTTGATGCTTCTCCCATCCATGTGACATCTTTATTCTCACATGTCCTAAAACTCTTTAACTTGGTGTTTTTTAAACCCTAACCACAATATAATAGCTAGTGCAAATAAATATGAGAAAACAGTGAAATAGGGCATGACCGTGACACTTTAGGCTCACTGTTGTGTTTTATGTCAGTGCCACGCCACCTGCCTACTGTAAACTAATAACTGTTTTAACTTCATAATAATAATAACTTGTTATTATCCAAATGGCTCTAGATGGTTTACACAACATTTATAAACCATTTTCAAATATTAGATACAACTTTACATTAACTTTATAATCATTTTAATATGTGTTTACTGAAAAGTTATTGGGAAAAATTAAGAATTACAATTTCATTGTCCAGTAAAGAAACAAACAAAAAACTAAACTGAATCAAATGAAAACAAAACTAGAGTAAGTCAGTCAATTTACTATTAAAGTGTTACCTTTTGTTAACAAATAAATTTTAATACATTTTTCACAAATATCTCTTTGGATAAGTGTTGAAGTGATAAAATTCTTTAACCAAAACCTTTAATGTTAACTTCGCTGTGACGTGATACTTTTATGTTCTGCAGACATCTTTTGCTGGTCACTATGCAACAAATACAAAATTTAGACAAAAGCAATTAATCACCCCTCTTTGTCTGTGGATTCCGGTGTTTTAATTCTCATAAAATCACGGATGTAGCCATGTAGTCTACTTTTGAAAATATCTGTGAAAGTTTGGTTTCTAAAGTACGGAATAGGATTAGGGCCACTGGGGGGGGGGGGAGGGGGCCGGTTTTTCTCAGAGAAAAAAGTCAGATTTTTTTTTTTTTTTTCTTCTTCTTTTCCCGAATTCTGAGAAAAAAGTCAGAATTCTGACTTTAATCCCAGAATTCTGACTTTTTTCTCAGAATTTGGACTTTTTTCTCAGATTTTTTTTCCAGTGGCCCTAATCTGAGAAAAAAGTCAGAATTCTGGGATTAAAGTCAGAATTCTGACTTTAATCCCAGAATTCTGACTTTTTTCTCAGATTTTTTTTCCAGTGGCCCTAATCCTCTTCAGTACTAAAGAGCCCAGAGCCTGGGTTCTAATAATTTCTTATATATATATATTTTTTTTTACGTTATGTTTTACACTGAATTCTTCATAATTTTGTAATTATAGTGTGTTATGGTTTTATGTAATTTGTTGTTGTAATTTTGTTTGTGTATTGTGAATGCAAAAGTCCAACAAAGAAGCAAGGGTTGAAAATTAGAAATAGCTGTAACTCTACATGCAGCACATCAGTTAACTATGTTAAACTGCATTGTTAATTTTTGACATATAAAAAGTGACAGACCACATATTCCAAACCTCTGAAATTAACATCAGCATAGAAACTGTGCTGAGCTTCATGGCATGGGTTTACATGACGGCCTAGTACTTTTATCCATGACTGGTTGTCAGATGCATTACTTTATCACGGTGAATTCATTTACTCAGTCATTTCATTTTCTCAAATAAATCAATAAATATGTTAAAAAGTAATTTTCACATTTTATTATTGATACTATATCCCCACATAAATGAATAAGAAAAGATGAGATAATTTTATCAGCATAATGATGAAAAAAAAAAAAACTTTTTTATGTTGAGTTTTGGCACAGCTGGGTTTAAATGCCATTCTGTTAAATATTTTAGTTTTTAATATATTATTAATCCACATGCTGGTCTTATAAGAGATGCACTGCTGACTGTGCGTGATACATTTCTAAAACTGGGATTTCTCAAAAACACAAAACAGTAAAACTTTATTATGTTTGATGGAAAAAAGAAAAAAAAGAGAAAACATTTACTTAGCCAGACTCTTTTTAGCAATTCATCCTAAAAAATCAGGCAGCCAGTCGAGAAGGACCTCGGTAAAAACCAACAACCACTTTGACAGATCTAATGAGCTCATTGGCTGTGAGATCATCGTAGAAGGACAACAGTCAGGGCACTATTTCACAAATTTGGGATTTACAGCAGAGTCATCAGAAGAAAATGACTTTAAAAAAGGCACTTCAATGACATACTGACAACATAAGCAGAAACATTCAGAGCTCTGAAAATGAAAGTGTTCCAGTGTGATTCAAAGAACTGTAGAAAGTAATGTCAAAAACAAGTGATTACCCTTGTAACACCACTTCAGTGTACAGTGTGGTAGTGGCCACTCTGCATCTCCAGTGTGCATCAGTGTGCAAAGCTACTCCTTTATACTATGACAGAAATAATTATACAGTTCATGAAGTCAAACGCTAAAGCCATTTCTGAGAGTATTTCTCAGAGGGTGAATGATTAACTCGCTTTATATCTGAGGATTTCAAGTGATTCAGTGTATCAAGAAAGCCATGGCTTTGTGGAGCTTTAATTTCACCCACTTGTACCGTACAATGAAAAAGTATTCTGAAATGATTAAATATTGCACAATTTAGCACTGCCACTTCTTTCCAAAGGAACATACCGACAACAAAGAAGAAGAAAACGAATATATCAGTGAAAAGTTGTACTACTGTTTACCAAATGATAACTAACTGAGAAGCTGTCACAGTAGAAGTACCATTTATTAGAAGCATTTTAATATCAAAATCAATATTTTCCCCACATTTATGTTAAAATAGCCATAACTACACTTCAGATTCTTTCATAATTCACGGATCAACCAGCTAACCAGCTGCTAGCTCAGCCAAAGTGCTTCTTATATATTATTTGGTATAAGAAACCATTTGGACTCAGCAGTTTCCTGACAAATAAGAAACTGATTCGACTACAACTTCACTCATTTCCTTCATGTGATTGTTTTACAGAAACGATCTCAGTAGGATGCACCACCACTGTGCTTTGTCTATTTTTGCATGTTTTGCAACATTTGAAGATTTTTTATCATCTGCACTGATCTGGTTAATTTTCTGCACTGCTTTTCATAATTATGTTATTTTACTTTCTGTAGGCTCAGGAGAAATTAGCCTCATGCACAATCTATCTGAAGTGATTTTTATCCACTTTCATTTTTCTGCCTAGTTCTGTCAGTTTTCATAATCAAAGCTGTTGTTAAGTTGCTCAAACATGATGCAAATGGCAGTATTCAATAGCACATTAGCAATGACATTGAGGGTTAAGTAGCCAGATGTGTGCTTTTATCACTAGTTTTAAATCAGCATGGAGCATTGTTGCATTGAATGAGGAAATTTTGTGCAAAACTCGTTTTGTATGAGTACAAATATATATATCTATATCTATATCTATCTATCTATATATATCTATATATATCTATATATATAGATATATAGATATATAGATATATAGATATCTATATATCTATAGATAT